GCCCACGTGCTACCATTGGTCCACTCCCATACCTGCTCCCATTGGCTCGGGGCAGGCTACACCTTTCACTTCCCTGCCTATAAATCCAACTCCTCACACCCTATTGGCATATTCATCGCCCTGATGACGGAGGCAGTATGACCTCTGAAACGTTGGTTAACATCGACCAGACTACACAGCGCAATAACCCAGAAGACAGAAATCTTCATACTCACCGCTGTGAGAACCTCAAGAAATACATTGTGATTTGACGGAATAACCAAATAATATAATTTAATTTTAGTTACTAAAGTACGCAAATGTGCCATATTTATACTGTTGGTCGTTACTTCTTCCTGTCTTCGAACGCTTTTTAGCGTTTCTTTATATCGAATTTGCTCTTGTACACAATTAAATCATAAAATTCAATACGTCTAATAGCTTACTTCCAAAAAGAGAAACTAAATAGTTACTTAGAAAGACAAAGATAAAAACAAGTATGCCGCGACCTATAACTACGGTTAACAAGTTTCGTTTTCATATGAAAGTCTTTGATGACACTTCCTTTACATCTTTACTTTTTATGTAGAGGAAACAGTGTTTAAATAATATTATGTAGGTCTCTTGGCTTGGAATTTAGGATACTATTATAATCAGCGTCATTTCAACTCTAATCACGAAGAGAGGAAGACTATCAGCTATGAAAATTAAGTAGCATTCGAGCAGTGGGGAACGAGGGACATCAGAGTGGGAGCGGTCGATTGATAAAACCGTTCTCTTTTGTAATCCACGACACATTTAGTGTCAACTATTTTCGCTAACAGCACATAATGGATCTCGATCTCTAGTGATAAGCAGAGACTGACAAGTGTTTTGATCATCGTCTGCACAGTTGTGGGCATCTTCTGTCAAGGCCGACTGTAAGTTACAAATGTTATTAAACTATCATTACCACCTGTGATATCTGAAATTAATTTTGATAAATTATGAAAGTGTATGTTATATAGGAATTATGTCCATAATATAAAACAATTAGACAAGTAATAACTAGTACTGTACCAGAACGTCTATTACTCCGATTCAAGTATTTATTTACATATCAACATTAAATTAAACGAGCTGTCGTTGTGATAATTAATGTAAATCTTGTATTGTTTCCAACAGATTTATCATTGTGTAACAGAGAAATAACTCTAACAGTTTATTATGAAACCTGAGTGACTTTGTATGCCAACAGCCAGTGATAAGTTGGTAATTTCAATTTGATCTACATTTAAAATATGGTTGGCCCTTTCATCTAACAGACACAGAACCTTCAGTCAAACAAGAACATAAATTACATAAGAAAGATATGATGTAAAATATGTCACGCTTCACATTTAGAGTCGTGGTAACAAGATTATTCCATTAGCGACAGATCAAACCAGATTTTTAAAGATGTAACTGTGAAAAGGTTGTGTACTGAACTAGCAATAGACTATTTTACAACTATTTCAGCCAAAATGCAAATAGGTGTTTTATATAATAACCTGGTGGTGTATGACAATGCCGTAATTCTGAAGGACATTTGTTGTTCTTGTGCAAAGGTTAAGGTCGCTCTGTAGCCCATTTACCCTCCCGTTGAACTGCTACCAGGAACCCTCTCCCCAGGGGTAAAGCGGCCAGACCCAGTGTTGAGGTTAAGAATGCGCGTAAGGCGTGGTGTTTCATTTAACACTAGGGACAGTTTTACCTTCAACAAAGCACCAACCATACTGGTTTATAACTGGATGCCAAGGCATTTATACGACTATATCACGCCCAGTTAGAGCTTTTAAATACCTATAAGCACTTTACGAAATACACACAAAACCTTCAAGCTTATTTATTCCCAACAGAAAAAACTTAGCAAGGTTGTGCAGAATATGAACGCCGTGAAGACACGGTCAGCTTATGCGCTAAATACATTCCAACGCCCATAGCAAATTTCATGACAAACCTTACAGCTACTATCTAGTTCAACCGAGACCCGATATCTTTGGCTGAGGTTTTCCTCAGTACCTCCAGAAAAGTAATTGGAGAGTACCTTACAACAGGCCACAATCGATTCCTTTCACGTCCATTCCAGTTCAATAATCACACTATTATACCATGCTATATAGTATACGCTATTGACATCGTTGTTAAATAAACAACAAATAAACAAAAACCATGTTTTATAAAAACTATAGGTAAGAGGAGAAGAGAGACAAATCTGGTAGAAATTTGTCTTTCGCATAAATAATCCTGTCGTTCCGATTTTATTAATCACAAAGCAAGGCGAGTTAAGAATGCTGAGAAAGCAACACAGTATTCCAACCAAAGAAAGTGATAGGCTGTTGCTCCTGTATTTTTCGAGACTGGCAATAGTAACAATGCTAGGAACAGTTGTTACTGTCTGAATTTAGTGATTTAAAAAATCAAATCTCGATCCGGAGATTCATTACACAGGCATTTTTCGTAGTCACCTCAATTCCTACATGCAAATAGTAAAAGTGTATGGCATTGGGTCATGGTTGCTTGATTTCAAATCTATTCACTAACCATATTCAACGATAAAATGTGAGCTGCTGACAACGGCATTAATCAAACTACAGGAGGACCTATATAAATAAATACGTTCTCCGCCCAGAATGAAAAAATGTTTCTTAGATCGATGTATTGCATCATCTTTCTCCCTGCCATTCTACCTCTGTTACTTGTCTCTTCACGTCTGCCTAACTACGCAGCGTTCTATATCTTCCTTCCGTTATCTGCAGTCGATGTACAATTCAATCGGGCCTCACTACATTTTTTAGAAAATGTAACCACAAATCCTAAGTGACATCATGGTGTCTTCAACAAACTACGCACACAAAAGGAACTCACAATAAAGGATTAATACTGAACTGTGTATCTGGGGCGAAGGTAATTTATGTTTGCTCTCCTTTTGGAACCTACACACTGTGTGTGTGTGTGTGTGTGCGTATCACAGAGGTACTCAGGCACAAGTACAGGCCAAACTTGCTCTGTATGTTCCGTTAGCCTACAGCCAACAAACGTCATATGCGTGACGGAATTTACAATCCAGACTTCTTGAATTAGAGCGGCGGTTCGCAGTCTATCAAACAAGCACCACTGGCGGCAAGAGCTCTTTATTTCACGTCATATATATATATATATATACACACACACACACACACATATACATATATATATATAAATTATTTTTACACCACTAACCATTTGCGAGAAAACTGAATGAAAATTGTCACGCATTTGGGAACCAACTTTGCAGTGCATCTCTCCTAGATATATCTTAGTGTGTGAAAGAACACAGTGCATGTAAAACCTTTTTTAAAGCCATTGATGCTATTTTGTTGGAATGGCAAAGGAAAATAAATCACCAGTTGCGCCATAATTACAGCTACTTATAGGGTTATCAAACTACACATTAAATCTTCACCTGACGTTGGATTGCAAATAAGAAATTGTTTCACTGCGCATATTACTGTCTTAAGCCACTGCACAAGCGCTTGTATGTTAATGCAAAGCTGAATATGTTCTACAGTATCATATCGGCAATCTTTGCCGTACCCATAAAACTTAATCACATCTTACCTGCAAAGCTATCAGATGCAAAACTTCGTAGTTTAATGCACATTTTCAGCTCTTAATGCGAAACGACAACCTGGGTATTGCACCACACACCGAACCAAAGCAAAATCCGACGTGTATACACTTACAGCCTTTTAATCTCGCTACTATATACTTGGACACAGACAAAATTACGAGCGCTCACTTGTCAGCTATATGGATGCACGAACTTCAGTAACAATAATTTCCCTCTTAGCAGATCATAATTTCTCTTTCAGGGAATCTCTTAGCGGACTGAACAACCTTACGGCGCTCAAAGCAGTTGATAATCATATTGAATAATAATGTTCCGTGTGCAAATAAATAGCTCCCTCTGTATAATATTTAATTTCCTGTGTGTGGCTATCATGTATCGTTTTAATAAAGCATTTGCAGTATTTATTTCTCTAACATATTACTATCTTTGAAATGTAATAACATTCATAAAAATAAATGGATGAGCATGTCTGATCATATTTCAGGACAATAACCATCTCCCTGGACAGTCAGTAGCTACTGACTTGTTCAAAAACACCCCTCCTTTTATGGAGCTCGAAGAATCATCATTATTCTATCACCAGATGGCTTAACTCAATTCAAATTATAATCAGTCCCCTTAATATCCATTTCAATAATACTCTTCAATCTGTCTGATATCCTAAGTTGTTGGAGATATCTAATTTACAATAATAATAATAATAATAATAGAAAATGTGGAAAATAAAAGCAAAAGTAATTCAAATAATTATAGGAGAAACTAGGAACTGTCTCCAAGTCACTCAAAAAATATTTGGCCATTACCCCAGGTGAACACGATATCAGGGAACTTCAGAAAACCGCCATTCTAGGAACGTCATACATCATTCAAGAGGCACTCATGTAAAACATATAATGCCTACGCAAAATCTGTTTAATGCATGTAACATGTATCAACAAATAAAACGCATTTCAGAAATAGCTACTGCAAATGTACCTCAGGGGCAAGGTTTGTCTCAGGTACACAGAAGTAAATACCCTGTAAAACGGTGAATAGATGTAATAATAAAAATGACAGGGATGATTAATATTAAAACATAAAGTTTACTGTGATAATTCCCATAATAATGCAGTCTCCATTTGCTTGTTAGTTCATCTCTCACATACCAATGTATTATTCTCAGCACCTCATGAGATGCCAGATTTTGTATCCACAAGTTGTGGAATTAAATCTCTTTATGCTTTACTTTAATGTTTATTTGTAGCACAAATTTTCTGATTTTAATTTAATCACAGACTTAATAGTTTTCTTATTCTCTAACATGTTTACAGTACTACCTTTTCAAACAATATAAGTTGTTGTATTACGAAGTCAAAATTAATATCACAGTTGTTTCCTTTCTTATTTATCTTCCAAGTAACCAAAGACTACAATTTTAGCTGGTAATTTGTATGGCTGCAAAATCTTGCCCCTTACTTTAACATACGTAAATTAACTGAGCACTAGGGATGACCTCAGAGAGATAAATTAAGGAAGTGCATAAACAGAAGCTGTTTGTTGGGCCAATTAAATCAAGAAGAATACTGTGAATTGTAAACATACAATGTACAGGAGAAAGCAGAATCATGTACAAGACACAGCGAAGAAACCTCATTGAGATGGAACAAAGAACTAGCTAAAAAATAATTTAATACCACTCGCATAATAATTTTACATTCTTTTATTAAGTATACAATTTATATTGTGCAAATAAGAAAGATATTTATTCACGCACTCTTCCCACATTCCAGATCTGTGACAGAACATGAATCAGTTATTGAGTTTTGTCATCATTGCCACCATAATGTTGGTGGCTGCACAGAACTGCCATTGTGAGACAAAAGTGCAACAAGCCAGGGGAAAAATAATTCAGACACCAGAACTGTGGGGTGCTCTTGGCTGTATTATAACAGATGATGACACGACCAAGTGCATCAGGGACCACACTATCACCGTTGGTATGTATGTAATAATTACAACAATCACCAAGAATGCAATTAAATATTCAAACCTTATAACTATATAATAGAGCAACACCAGTAGGCTAGCATGATCCAGTACACAGTAACAATAATAAGCTTTCAAATTATTATTTATATTTTAGCCTCCTGTAAGTGATGTACAAACTGAAAATGTTTAGACCTTTTCTGGCAGATTACCCCAAGACATCCCCACCCTCAACGTTTCAATGTTTGTAAGAACATGTACCTTCACCACTGCACCTAACATTGTTCCATATTAACACCTTGTGATGTAGTTTCGTGCTTTTCTTTGCAGGTAGGAAGGATGAGGATGATGCAAGTGATGAGGAAGTGAATGTCTCCTCAGAAGACAATAGTCCAGGATTATTTGATGCCATTAGTGCATTTGTGAATGATGGAATCTTCAGGTTCTTTGAAGATGGTGAAAAGGACAAAAACGAAGAGACTGATTCTCAAAATGATTCAGATGAGCATTATGATGATACCGATGATGATGATGATGATGATTATGACGATGATGAAAACGGAGGTGGTGGTGGTGGTGATGACGCAGACGATGATGACGATGAAGATGATTACGATTCTAATGAAGATCTGGATGATACAAGCAACTTTGTGAGCACATCCAACAGGACCACTTCAGTGGCCATAAAAAGGAAAAATAAAAGAAGTGTCGAAGGTGAGTTGTAAAACTCATAGCAGGTTAAATTACACACACAAGTATATTTTATATCACATACAAATATTTTGTAGAATGTTGTTTAAGCTTTATGCAAAGTATTAGTCAATTTGTAGGCTAATACAAGCCAAAACAAAGTGATTATTACAAATATTAATGTTACTATCCCCTAACAGATGTCATTAAATAATTCTCTTAAGTAAGAAGTTTGGGAGAAAAATGTGGGCAGGTAATCAGATTTAAAGACAGGCCTAGCTGCATGGCTGCAGGACTGAAACAATATAAGCTGCAAATGGTAATGTTAAATCAGTTCATAACGATGCAGAGTAGACTATCTTTTGACTTAGTCAAATAATGTTTTGCAGCTTTTACTCAGCCAAGTCTGATATGCTTAGCTACCTCAGCACTGATCAGAGGTGAGTGGTCAGTTTCACAATCTGGCAGTCTCATTTCACATGTACCTACAGTACAGAATCCAGTGGAAATGAAGATTAAAATCACTTATTCCTGCACCACAAATCACATTGTGGCTTTCAAGTCATGGTCAATCATCTTAGTGCACAACCCTTACAGCATTACCATTTCAAAAAGCATACATAAAGCAGCTGAAGTAAAAAATTTAAGCTTTCTTTGCTATATAATTCCATGGAACAGAGTTTTCCTTTGAATATTTACATTTACTAAGCTGGTGAAGAAATTATTTATTTTTATTTTACTGGATTCTAACTAACTAACTAGATGGCTTACCGAACCCGAAGGTTCATCACCGAATTAACCAAAGCCCTCCACCGGACCCTGTCCTGGGCCAACAAAATCCAGTTTCCTTCAACTCCTATCTCCCATAGATCCCGCCTGAGATTATCCTCCCATCTACGTCTAGGTCTCCCCAGCGGTCTCTTCCCTTCAGGTTTCCCAACCAGTACCCGGTGCACACCTCTTGTCCCATCCATGCGCGCTACATGTCCCGCCCATCTCACTCTTCTCGACTTAATCACCCTCACAATACTGGGGGAGCAGTACAGATTTTTAAGCTCGTCATTGTGCAGTTTTCTCCACGCCCCATCGTCTTCCCTCTTAGGCCCAAATATCCTCATCACCCGATTCTCAAACACTTGCAATCTGTGTTCCTCCCTCTGAGTGAGAGACCATGTTTCGCACCCATACAAAACAACAGGCAAGATTATTGTTTTGTATACTTTTACTGGATTCTACCCTGAACAAGTCTACAGTTTCATTCCTTCATATAAGATCTATTTCAACAATTTATCAACAGTTTTTCGAAGCTGCCCACCTACCCTATCACCAAACCAATGAACCGTGATCCAAGTGTGACCTACAGCCGAGTCAGGCATTTAAATTTTCTATTTCCACGTGATAAAGATAATTACGCTCATAAGATTGGGGCTTCTCTTCAGCGGTTTTGAGTAACATTTGTTCCCAAATAAAATACTTTCTTTGCATTAAACTCCACAGCTGAAGAAAGCAGGAGGAGGAGAAGAAAGGGAGACAAGATGATGAAGCTAATGATGCTGGGAATGATGCTAAAATCTAAATTGAATACCATCATGATGGTGTTTGGTGCTTTCATGCAACTCAAATTCTTTGCTCTGTCAATGCTGAACCTGCTAGTTGGATTGGTACGTCTATATATAGACCTCACAAAGAAAAAGGAGCCACAGAAAGTGATCTACTATGAGCAGGCTCACCACCAGCATGTGTATGACCAGCAGCATGAAGACAAGGGTTGGCTAGGAGGCTGGCTCTCCAAGAATGATGATACTTTCAGTCATGACATAAATGGTGATCCACACAGCATGGCATACTATGCCCAGAAACCAATGACATAACATAAATGGACTTATATTTATAAGGCAGAGAAATCCAGTTGTCTAGTGTTAAGGAACTGAAATGTGCAAAACATCTTGGGCACAACACCAATCTTCCTTACCTCTGACAAAATCAAACTTTGTTTGCGCAAAGAATACAAAGCTGTGTTTCAGATCCCATATTAAGTGATCTGCTACCCATCTTTATTTTCACCAAAACATCCTGTCAATGGAAACAAAAGATTTAGTGTTTCCATTGCTCTAGCCATGTGGTCAAACATATGGAGGAATCAGCCACCGAACTGTTATCATGCAACACTGTCAATAATAAATGGAGCTATAATTTAATTATATACACATTAAGTTTATTTATTAATTCAATTTAATTTATTAATTTAGTCATATTTTCCCCATTTTATTTACTGCAACTTTATCATACATCTATGGTTATTTCATGTTTCCTACCAAATAGTTTTAAGTCATTAGATTGTAACTTTCATGTACAAAATGTAATAAAAATAAATTAATTTAATTCCTACATCCATCATATACCAGAACAGATTTAAAGGTATTTGAACTTCTGTAGAGCTGTTAGTATTTGCATTAATTCAAAACACATGAAATGGAAGAAATAAACACTGCTAGTGACACCAGACTTACAAGATTTATACAGATCATCCTTGACCAACATCTGCCCTTGAACTCAACATCCAGGCTTAATTCAGTTTCATAAGCCCAGTTCCATAGTTTATTTTTAGTTTGATCTTGTATAATCCTGGAATTGATGTACTAAAGAAAAAGATAAAATGGGCATAAATCAAGTCCTTTAGATGCCTCAATTTTGTTTTATTTACGGAAATTATGCAGCCACAAAATGGCTACTAACCATATTCTGTACAAAGAAAATGAAGAGTTCTTTCACAACATATGATCTCCATACTGAGGTTACAGGCTCAATTCCATTAAAATAAGTGCGGTGTAACGGTATATGCACTGTACTTTGAACATCAGTATGAACAATCACATTCCTCAATATTTGCACTAAACTCCAAATTCCAACAAAATAATAACCAACTATTTTGAGCATCAATCTCATCGACTATTTTTTAAAATAATATTTATTACAATTATTCTTGTAACATATACTATAAATTACAAGCCTTTGTAGACAGGATGGTGTTTGTATCACGTCTAATAATTCTCTATTATATCACTAATTGCATTTAGAGATAAGATTTTAAATGCAATCTCAAGAAACAAACAAGTCTAAATCATAGGCAAGTCTTGCAAGTTGTTTATTCCATCCAATGGAATCGAAAACCATATTTAGCAGGAGGACGCGGATAATCATCAGGTAAGTATGGCGTGTAGTCAGGATAGACATCTGGTTTCATTGGTTCTGGCTTTGGACGTTTAGTCTCATGAATTTTTGCTTCGCAAAAATATCCAAATGGTGGACGCTCAATTCCAAGGTTGTCCAGAACACATTTATCATACACAGCTTGTGTCTTCCGACAACTGGAACAGTTACAAAAAGTAAATTAGTTAAACTGAAATATATGCCAGTATCATCAACCTCAGAAACTGGGACAGAAAGAGAATGCCATATGACACACACTAAAACTTACTCTTACAAGAAATCCTAGGAACATGAATATTATTCCTACTCAGTTTTTCATCCAATGCAGATAAGGAAGGCAAAGGCAAAGTTGTCCCTGGTGCTAAAATAAGTACCACACCATGCATATGAATAAGGAACAGAGGTAAAGCTCCAAGCATTCATAACCTAAGCACAAAATGTACTGGACAATATATACTACACATTATAAACTTCATACATTTAGGAACTAAATAAAACACCAATGTGTACACTGCACTGTTACTAAATAACAGTAAACATTTTTTGGGGCTGTCAGTCTTATAAACAATGTCCTTCTTTTTGTTATTGCAATGGGATGAGAGTTTCTCTTTGGAACTGCACTGTTAATGGAACCATTGTCCACCCCTGATGATATATGATTAAATATGGAGCAGCTTTGTAACAATAGTGACAGGACAAAACCAAAGGACTCAGAAAGAAAAAAAACTGTTCCAGGACCACTTTCCCATCACAAATCCGACATGGACTGCCCAGGGTACAAACCTAGAAAATGATGCTTACCTATCAGCAGCCAGAAAACAGCAATCTACACAATTATCCATGGGTTATCCTTACTTCAAGGTCAGGGATCCATAACTCTAGTTAGGGACACACTAGAGCTTCCTGTAAAATCCTTCCCTTTTGTGATAATGTTCCTCATGACATAAATTTCAGGATGAAGAGTAAACAACTCAACATTAAAACTTTTATGTTCACTGGAGGTAATTTTATACTAATTTCACTCTAAATAAGGGGACCAGAGAATATTTCCATTTAATTTAGGTTCCACTTTAGATAGGCTTTATTGTTTTTGTATAATTATAGCAATTACCAAAACTGAAGAAATTCTAAAATAAGAAAGAGAACGTAGCACAGATGAAAAAAAAATTAAAAGATAGGAGGACTGGTTACTGTCAACAGACATGCACATATTTCTGTTAGTACCATGCACATCCTGCTTAATAATAACTTCATCTCTTGCCATGTGTTTAAGGGCTCGGTTGTGTGAACACTGAAAGTCACTTGTTACTGTGATATTTTTAATTTTTAGATTGAAGATTGCTGTCTTCTGGGTTTTTGCACCATATAGGCTGGTAAAAGTTTACCAGTGTTTTAGAAGTGCTTGCTGCTGCAGTCATCAGAACCTTGGAAATGTTGGTAAACTTCTACCAGACTACATAGCACAACAGCCCAAAAAACAGTAACTTGCCACTACAAGAAACTGAAATCTCACCAAGTTTCTTTTGTTTTAGTTACATTTGATCAGATATGGATTTTTCAGCTCTGTCATGTCATCTTAGTTTTGTCTCGATGATTTTAGGAAACTACCGATATTTTAGTAACATTACACAGGTCATCATTTTGAAGCAGAGACAATATTTTCAAAAATTGTTTCATTTTTAAACATGCTGTTTGGTGTTTGCTTGTTTAATAATAATAATAATTCTTAATGTTCCAAAGACATATCAAAAAGCAGTCCAAAATTGTTTCCATACTTACTATTCAAATTCCAGCTTTGGGCTAGATTTGTCAAGACAATTGGCATACTGTGTAAATTCCTTGAAGCATGACTTCTTTACTTTTCTAAAGAACTCTAAAGCACAACTTGTTACTGCTTTTCCTTCATCAATGCATTTTCTAGGATCATTAAGCTCATTACGACAAAGCATAAACTCCTGAAAATAAGTAAAACAAGAGTTTAAGGAATTCCTGGGGTATACTGCCAGGACATGACTAGACGCAAAAGCCCCATTTAAATTATTCTGGGATCAACAATGACTTCACTTCAATCACAACCTTTGTGACCTCTTGTTATACCATTTATAGATATCATAACCTAATGATTCATCACCATTCTAAAATTGTTTACATCTTACAGAAGAATACCATGTAAGGTTGTGTAAGATGTTTAACAGTTTGGGGAAACAGACGGTATGATGCAAAACGTTACTCTATTAAAAAGAACAGATCGTAAAAAATCGTACATTGTTCTGAAACTCGCAGTGTTTGCCGTAGTGAAACGCTCCAGCTCTAAGTGCGGGACCACTTAGATTAATTTCTTGAACAGTTATGTCTTCTTCTGGTGGTAAATATATATCAGCGGTTATAACCATTTTCAGATTGTTTCCGAACTTAAAACAATGCTTTCGACCTTACCACAGACAACTTATATGCTTTTCCAATATTTGCGACCAAGTTTACTTGCAGAATATAATAGTGACACGACTACCAACTCACTGAACCTTCCTTGACTAAAAATATAATAAACGCGCATAAAAGTTACACTGTTTCGTTATGAACATAATTGTGTAAATTACTCAATGAAAACATAATCATACGTGGAATGCAGTTAAAATGTAATAATTATAATATCACGTTTGACTTAATACTGAGACGTTTGTTGGTTACACTGTATCGTACACTGCCATCTATAATTTTGTATGGAACTATCAAGCGCTGCTTTGGATCAGCTAGGAGCTAAAACATGGATTGTTAATCTATGGATTGTACAATGGCGCATAATTAATCATACTATTTGAAATAACTGAATTTTCACATTTATTAGTTTTCTTATTTTTTTCTTCAGAAATAAAGAAGAGGCCTGGAAATTTTTTTAAACCTCTACACAGCCCATAAAATGAAGCAAATGTGAATTGCTTTTCACAAATAATTGCTCAGTTGCCATTCTGTACTATTCTGGATTCTGCCACCGTTCACTCTTGAGGAGGAATGCAAATACGATTTCAACAATTCATTACGTAGATTGCCATACTCTGTAAGAAATATGCACTATCCACGGATCAAACCCCTAGAAAGTAAAACAGGACTTCCAGAATTTGATTCATAGTTTCAAATGTGTAATACTGAGTAAACCCTGAATAAGGTGGCCCGTGCTATGGGCAGCTTCTGCTTATGCCTTTCGGTACCAATTATTCTTTGTGCCATCATGAATTGAATTGAATCATGTCGTTAATTTTATTTGCACACGTGAGTAAAGGACTAAGATTAGCACAATATTTAAAATCATGAACAACCGCAAATTTCAGGTTTCATATGATTCTGACATCCGAATTTGTAAGTAAATTGCAATTAGCATAAGCATGAAACGTAATTAAGTTCATATAAATATGGGCAGTTATAACTAAAAATATTATGGAAAAATAAATTATTCTGTGTTTAATGCTTAAATATCTGTATACCGGAACGCAGCAAGCAAACAAACAAAAATAAAGAGAAAATAGGGAGGAGGAAGGAAGGAGACAAAGAAGGGGGAAAATATACAAATAGAGAACTTTAAATAAATTAGGTCTAAGGCCTATGTAACAAATATTTTGTATCAATTCTTTCTTTGCGCAACGCCCCTCTTTGTGAACATCTCCCTACACCTCTTATTACAATGTATATCCCCTGCATGAAATTTAATCGAAATCCTTCCTGTAGTTTCGGGAGCTCAAACCTGAAGACGGAAATGACTCCCTCATATCATATGCGTGAGAAACAAAAGTTATAGTGGAACCACGGTTCCGGAGAATTTGACGTAAATACGTCTATACAGAAAGGAAGTTTATATATTGGCTTTATTCCAAATATTTCCTTTATACATGCTTTACAATTGAGATAAGTTTGATTAAGACATTGCTTATTTAACTTGAATTAGTTACGCTTAAGATGGGTCTGTGGTAGCTGAATGTAATGTAATGTAAAGTAATGTAATGTAATGTAAGGTAAGGTAAGGTAAGGTAAGGTAATGTAATGTAATGTTTTATAGGTAATAACAATGCTAAGTAAACAGATTACGTTTCCTAGGTAACAATAATGCGTTTCCAAGGTAACATAACAATGCAGTTACACTTTTTCGTTCCACTTTTTGCCGAATGACACTGACCCTAAAATATAGACGTATTTACGTCAAAATATTTAACGTCGTAAAATGATTGTAAAATATTTTCCTTGTATCAGTGCTAGTCAACTATGAATGTTTTCGTTCGCCTTGTGGCCCGGACGTGGTTCCACGCAGACAGGAGTGTCTGTTCGAGAGACCCCGGCGCCGGTTCTAGCTGTGGTGGGTGTATGTTTGATCTCAGGATGGTGCATATGGTTGTTTCTATGACATAATTACACTGTCAGGTAAGGAAACCCGGAAATATGGTGGGGTAAAAGTACAGAGGATCAGTTCGTCAGCATCTTGTGTAACTTACGCCAAAATGTCAACGAATGAAGATGTTAAACGAAATCCTATGTGATTATGAAGGCACATGACGAAAGATAACGTTAAATGTCAGAACGGGAAAATTACAAGGGAACTAGAATCGGAACGATTGATGATTATTTCAAGGCTGAATATTACCGTTAAGCAATTCCATTTGGAAGTACCTAATTTAGAATTCATGATCGAAAAGTAGAATGTGTATAGCATGCAAAAAAGGTGTGAATGATGTATCATTTACTTATGATGGATAATGCGTGAGAATAGTATTCCAAGGAGAAATTCAGTTGTCGAGAAAGCAAAATACCAACATTAGACCGTAAATCAAACAATAGTAAAAAGATGCACTCCATCACACTCCAACAGAGCACACGTATTTTCAAAATACATTTTATCTCATTTTAATTATTTCATTATCCTTAATGTTCATTTATTCATGAAAATCTAGTCGTGCGGGTTGCCTACCTCCTAGAAAAACCGTAAGAGACATACATACAGACGCGAATGGGCCCATAGGTATCTTTAACTCACGCCGAAAAACACGTAGAGACAATCGAACGTGTATCAGTTAGCAGAACGACAGGTCGCTGGCGAGGGAAGTTGCCTGTTCAGAAGATTAACCTTACATCTGGAAGAATATGTGGCAGAATACAGCATGGAACAGTCGCTCATATCTGAACCCGACCACGTAACACTGAAGTGTATGAAGCCTGGAACAGTCACCTTCTTCAATCTTGTGTCCTCCAAACTAAAAAGGCCATTTATATCCTCACAGTTCGATGGCGACTTGGCAAGTCAAACAGAGAGGAATTTCCTGAATTAGATGTTAAAGACACAAATTGAATTCTGATTTATGTTTATCTGGCTCAATGTTACAGCTGGTAAATGCTTCAAAGTTGAGGATAATAATAACCTTTCATTGAACAGGCAATAATTATAATAGCATTTTACGAAATATTACGCTAAACAGATACGACAGAGAAGTAGGATAACACTTTAATCGTAATTGGATAGAACAGGTTTCAGTCTAGGCCGAGTTATCGCCAATTCTGACTGAGCTTTCTCGTGAATTTCCTCAGTAGCTCCAGACGAATTTCGGGACAGTATGCCTTAAAATTTGATTAATTTAGAAAGAATATTTTTATTTAAGATACGCCTAAAGGATTCTGACAATAGTGTGTTGCAATAAGTTCGGCTAATATTTTAGACATTGCCCATCGTCTTGGTCATTTGTTAAAAAATCACAAAACGTTTAAGAAACTGGATCTGTCTCAGTAATCACACGAAGGTGAGGAAAGGAAGGTGCCTATGCTGGAACTTCTCCAGTGATGATGACACAATTATTTTGCTCACAACTGACATTTATTTCAAGAAATCTCAATGCTTGGAATGTTAAAGTTGCGTGCTACCTAATTTTTCTAATACGTGCTGTGAGACGCTGATGACACACGCGCGCACAAAATCTCTTGAAGGTCTTGTATCGATAAAGGCGGTCAATTCCATCAAGGTACCAGCAATGGCATATTTTTAAAACTTTACTGTACTAAAATCCACAGAAACTTCAATTGCTATTCATGACTTTTTTGCGCCAAGGATTTTTATTTCTTAGATTACCTTCGGTTCTGTGGAGTTGTATTGAATTTCTCATCACGCCATCTGTCATGTTCGGGAAAGATCAAGAAGGCCTTGACCGCGGATGCTGTCTGATTCGACTAATAGCTGCAATGGAAATGAAGTAACTGATTATAGAGTGCGATTAGCAAATCAATGACCCATTAAACAAACAATGCACAGAGAAACGGAAATGGCTGAGTGATTACGAGGGGAAGAATGAAATGTAGAACAAGTGTATTAGGACTGGAGAAATGAGATGCAGTCCCATCAATTATCTGTTGGTAACTACTTTCGTTGTTAAAATGGTTAGCAAGCGTTTACAACTTTTTAATTTCGTATATTTGTGACAGGCTCTTCAATTAGCTATTGAATGGGCCAAGGTGAATAATAGTAGGATCTGTGAACAACCAATTATCCTACTTTCTTTAAATGCCCTTATGTGAATTTAAAACTTCTAAACTTACAGTAAAAAATTAATATAAATTAGCGTTGCGAATACACAGAAAGTGTAATTTATCTAACAGCCGAACCGAAAGTCGTGATCGAGTGGTTAGCACCCCTGATTCGTATTCGGGAGGTCCGGGGTTTAAATCTTAACCCGGAGACCGGCTATTCTGAATGATGTTTTTCGTGGTTTTACTCAAGCCCTCCAGTATAGTGCCTTAAATTAGGCCATGACAGCTTCCTTCCACATTATTTCCCATTCATCATTCACTATCTCATTCTCATTCAATGTGAACGCTATATAGTCTGAGCTACTAAAAAGCGTCATTAAATAAACTATAAATAAATAAAATTTAAAGTGAGAAATGTTACGTCAGAGTTCTTCGCCATTACAATCTTCGTGTAGTCCACTACAGTTTCATAGTTTCACCTTTAATTAATGGATTTTGCAACTTCAGTCCCACTTAAACGAGAATAGATTTAAAAATCATGCATCATTACGTCAGTGTTCCTCAGCATCATTTGCCTATAATTTCTTATCGTAATTAGTAATTTGTTGGGACCCGCAGATGCTCACGCACTGAAGAACGGGTCGTATAAAATAAAAATAAAAACAATTAGTAATTTTCTCCAAACAAACAAGTTGATAGAAGCCATCTTTATTTTCATAGCTTTAAGCTTCCTACAGCAGAAGAGAAATTTCATGATGACTACAAGACGATGACGATGCACTTTGTTGAAGGAATAAAACGGGTGGTCCCGACATCTTTGTGTGTATTACATTTCATAAGCATCCCATTTGGAAACATGTGCAGTTACGAACATCATTTTGTAGGATTAAGCATCAGCACAAAGGTATATTGTTGGGCTAACCGACTGCCATTTCGTAGAACTAGGTATAATCGTTAGAACATGCAATATGTGGCACTTTCCCTCGAGGAACAACAAGGTTATAAACAATATTTTAAAGTTAGTATCATTAGTCTCACAACCGATTATTTTTTTGTCTTTCCGGCAATAATGATTAAAACCTTTTCATCTTTATGTCAGACGTCCCTGACATATTCTATTTTTCGGTATATTCTGACAAAACAGTTTCCAGATTCCGTTATCAACAGGGCGGAAGGTTCATGTTAACCGTACTAGCTAAAGTTTAGAAAAAATAAAAAAATCTATTGTCTTGTTTTCGTTTATCAGTGATACTCTGAACACAGCAGGACCGATCACATAAAATGCATCGTTGGCCAGCTAAAACCAACCAACCAAGTGTTGTAAGCCAGGTAGCTGAGGCTTAAGCTCGTAACTGGAAAATCGTCCTGATGGAGACAGCAAGGACCTCTAAAACATCGGTTAACTTGTACCAGACTATATGGTGCAACAACCCCGAAGACAGCCATCTTCAGAGTAAATGAGGAGTTTCTTTGGCTAATAATATTCTCTACTTTCAACATACATAAATTTTCTTGGGTACAATAGGACCCATTTTCCTCAACACTTTCTTTCTGAATATCACAATTTGTCGTATTCTGTCAACGTAACAGACTACGTTTACCAGCCACACAAAACAACAAACCGTCTTCCAATTATATACATAATTTTCGTCCCTAATATAAGGAATAATTGCTAACGCAAAACTGGCTGATTATAAGCTAACAGTTTCGTAACACTTCAGTCATGAACAAACTGTCTGAATTGCGTTGCGGTATGGCACATGTTTCTTAATGTAACATATTGCAGATGGCTGTCGTTTTAAGCAGCCATTCTGCTTTCTTTATTGGACAATTACCAAATTGTTCATAACTATTTCGCCTACACTTGGAATTTTACTTCAAATGTAGAAGTACACCTAAAGCCACCTACATGCGCTGTGAAGGCATTCCTCTAGTCCAGACGTCATTGAAGATCGCCCTGATGATGGAAGCAGCAAAAACCTCTGAAACGTCGGTAAACTTCTACCAGACTACACGGCGCAACAACGCAGAAGACAGCCATCATCATACATATATGCTATTGAAAAGTCCTAAGGGACGAAACGAATTTCTTAATATGTCATATTTTGTTACCCGCACTTTATAGCGGATTCCCCTGTACTGGTAATCGAGTTATAGAAATTCAACTTCTACATTTGATATACAGTCTATCTTAGGTGCACAACAAATGGAGCATAACATGTACATTTGTGAATAAGTCCCAAGTAAGATATTCGAACCCAAGAAAGATGAGGCTGAAAAGAGTTGAGAAAATCACGTAATGGACAAACTTATATTTTGCACACTATGGCCTAATGTTGAAGAATGATTGCAAAACTATGAGATGGATGGTATATTCAGATGCACATATTGAAAATATAATAGAAATAAGGAGAAAACATTTAAATTTATTTTAGAGAAACAGGTTGTTTGGGTGTGGACCGGATGGACGTCCAATAGCGGACTTATGGGTACATAAGAACATTAATTTCTGCGTATAGATTGGAACCAGAGACTTTTACATAAAGCAGGGCTATTAACCACTACACACGTTCGGTCAGTACTGACTTGAGGATGGTTGAGGCACAATTTTTGTTCTCATAGCATTGTCGATGAAAGACATGTTGACAAAACTATAGCCTTTTCGGGAAATGATAATGATCAGTTGGTTAAACGGTGACTTATTGACACTTTGGTATGAGAACAGCGAAAAGAAAGGAAGAGTAAAAAGGGATTTCCTTGAAGTTGGCGAAGTAAATAATATAATCCAATAAATGCTAACATAAAAACACAATTACATTAATCACCTTCCAAAACAGAAAAAAAATTATTTATTACTTGAAATATTGAAACAAAGTATGAATATGAGCGTGTAAATTATCTATTTCTTCTTCCTAAGACGTTTCCACTTTATGTGGACCATTCAGAGCCAGTAAACAATTCTTCTACACATTTAATCCTAATTTAGTTCAGTATTATAACCCTAATTTATGATTACAGTCTAATTTAACGAAATTTATAAATACTTCAAACCTACGTATTTTATTAGAAAACCTTATAATGATTCATGGTATGAAACCAGTCTGAACAAACAGAATGTGGCGCGTTCTCCCAAACAAGTCTGAAAAATTCTGACTTATACAATGGCGGTAAAATTACGAAAGATGGCTTGCGTTCACTTCTCCAGAGAGTTGCCTTGAGAGAAATCTTGAGTTACACCACTTTTGCATGGAGCTTCAGTTTTCAAACGAATGTAAGAGCGGTGGATGCAAGTAGGTGTGGAGGACAAGAAGATGAACGGAACGACGCAAGAATGGAAATAAAATCTGAACTAGAGGTTTCTGAATGATGACCTCTGGTTATCCCCACCCCTACCCTTGTACACGCACACACGCACCTCACATATTCTATCTCCCTTCCCCCCGACTCCCCCACTCCGATGTCCGTCTTCTTCGGATGGAACGGTATAAAAGCTCTCGGCTTCAAACCCACCTTATGAGTTTGTATTAGCTTTTGTGATCACGTCTTGTTCATTCGGTCGCTTTCTATTTAATTCCAAAGGTAGGAATCGCTTAATTCGAGGACAACTCAACTATATACATTACATAGATTGTCGATAATCGTCACTGGTAGAAAAATATTATATCGATGGCGTGGGCACATTACACGCTTGGAGCAACATAAATGCTCATCAGAGTTATGTAGGAAATTTATGGAATGATATTACGAAGACGTGAACAAATCAGCTGGATAAATTTACTACAGACAGACAGACTTTGTTTTTCTCTTCTTCGAATTATGTAATATCGACGATTAGCTGGTAGATTTCTGAACAAAGACGGATTACGATTTTCTTTTATTTCTACAGAATTGTTTTTCGGGTGCAGCAATATAAAAGCTTCAAGAAGTTACGGTCCGGTGTTAAGACTATTTGTTTGTAATTTAATTATTGTTACATTAAGGTATTTCCGTTAAATTATCTGTGTGTTCTTAAGTAAAGATCTTTTCAACGTATTTTCTATGTAATAAACCATGAAACGTTTATATGTTTAGGCAAGCGAGTAATTTTTGCTGGCAGAAATATCAGTGGTTGGTTGTGTGGGTGGGTACTTTGTTGTATTTGCATTTCGGAGATAGACTCTTGTTAAAACACTTTGGCAAGCTGTTTAGAATGGGAGTCAATGAAAATAATTATTAATGATGCAAACGCCAACTATTAAAATGACGTACCACTGAACAAAATTATATTCTACCTCAATCTATTGACAAAAGTTACTGCTGATTCTAGGATTCAAGTCTCCTTAGGGATTTAAATGTTTCTCCAGGACTATGGATATGCGGTTAAAATTTTCACCCGCCAAGTTTCAGAGTAGAATAGTGTTAAAATTTCTGGCAAAATCGTTTAATTTTTTGTGATTTCTTGTCTATATACAGATCAAAGTTGTTCAAAAATTCACCTCAGTGCATGTTTATAATCAAGGCTTAATTGCTGATTTTGGTACTGCATCATTTCTAATTTATTTATTTCCTGCCTCATTATTTATTTTTGTATCAAGCTTCCAGCAAATTTTCCATACAAATCTGTAGGCTGCCTACTCAGGCTCTTAACACTGGGACATAACATGTGCCCTATATATCAGCACCGTTGCCAGAATCCGTTAAATATAATTCGTAAAGTATAACAAATAAAACAACAATAATAATACCGTAACGTGCACACTTCACCAAATATCAGGGCGATAAGAAAGAGGATAAGAAGATTGGTGGAGTATGTAACACGCATGGGAGAGATGTTAAATGCGTACACAATTTGTCTGAAAACAATAACAGAATTCATCACTTCAGAGAACAAGGCGTAGTTAAAAGAATAATATTAAAATTGATGTTGAGGACAAAGGGCCTGAGGATTTTACCGAATTCATTTCTCTCAGGACAGGGTCCTGTGGCTGGTTTTTAGTAAACGTTAAGAAGCCTTTGATTTCCTTAAAAAGCGAGGTATTTATAGACTACATGAGCGACTACTAGCTTCCCAAGGACTCTGTTCCATGGAATTTGGCAGTTAATATTATATTAGCAAAACTTATTTACATCTGAAATATATTAATTCCTAACATGTCATCTATATAAAAATGGGCGCGGTGTCTCCTACGCAGATTTTATGGTGAATGATTCGAGAGTGGTTTACATTTAAAATCTCATATGTTTACTTGCAGTTCATTGATTAATTAATTGTACCGTTATCTTTCCAGATAATTTTCACTATCAACGACAATGTGCAGATTCGACTCGATATCAAGCTTCGTTCTAGGTGAGTGGACAAGCAGGGACACACACAGACATTTTTATCATTTTGCCACAAAGTCGGGGTTTGAGTCCAGTATGAAGCCTTATAATGAACATATAGGAACGATCAATCGGGTGACAGGTAACGTTCATTTAACGACGCTGTCAGTAGACCAATATCTCAGACTATACAGCGTCGAATGACAAAATTATCAAAAGGATAGGACAGGGAAGGAAGCTGTCCTAGTTTAAAGTACTACACGAACACTGGCCTAGGGACACTAAGGAAAACCACGAAAATCCTTTCCTAGGATAGACAATGTAATGGCAGAGATGAGATGTCCTGGTACCTCTCGAATAAACAAATAATTAATATGAAATATACAGACACGATTTCAATCTTACCATAAAATTTTCACGACACTAACTAATTACCATACGACTAAAAATAATTCTCCAGGTATGTGTATTCAGATATTTCTAAAAAGTGTTAATTGTAAATTTGGGGCCAAGGCCTTCATCCGAATGGTATTTGTGAATGTGTTGAATAGCAACAACGTGAGATGAGCTGAAGAAAATATTTGAAAGAAAACACTTTGGCGGTACAGGGTTTTATCTATAAAGAAGAACTTCGTGCTTTGTATGCCCTACAGGTCATCTACTATCGTGTTCACAAACTTATATAATACTGTTTTATTGTACTACGAATACATTTATCTTTATTTTTACCGCTGTACTTATTAATTACTCATTATCACCTATCATTCGTGATATTACACTGGATAGACTCAGAATGAGGTCTTCATAGTGGATAACGACACAGCACGACAGTTATAGCCTCACAGATATTCAATACAGATCAGCCATCGCTCTTGAGCTGTGCGACAGGCTTGACCAGCCGGCATAATCACAACATCTGCCTTAAAGTTCTATCTCTGGCCGTGGAAATTGCCAGAATTTTGAGTTAATCTTTGCGGCAAATAGCCTACCTAATTACCTAAGTGATTTATTTAAAGGCTGCATTTACATCTAAATACAATACAAGATTATATTTGTATTTTATCCTTTGCAGCCTTCATCGCTTTGAGCAGTTTCGTCATGGCGTATCCAAGGATCAGGGTGAGTCCACAAGCACGACAAACTATTATTACTGGCAGTCGCGTCTAGGACTATAACTGGTTAGTTTACATTTAGCCTAAACGACAACCCTTTTCTAATAATTTTTATTTATTTGTGGTATATTTAACAGCACTATCAGTAGGATTTGAGGTTTCCACGGCTGAGTCTGAAGATTGCTGTCTTCTGAGTTTTTGCGCGGTGTAGTCTGGTAGAAGTTTACCTAAACTTCTACCAGACTACACGGCGCAACAACCCAGAAAACAACAATTTTATCACTATCAGTATCTCAGACTGTATAGCATCGAATGATAGAATTATTAATAAATAATAAACTAGAAACGAGATGGAAGGAAACGTTCTTGTGGGAAACCACGAAAACCCTTGGCCAAGGTAACTGGTCATGGGGCCGAGATCTGAAACCGGGACCTTCCAAATAACCACTAGACCGTCGTAAATAGGAAACCACTCGATCGTCGGTTACATTCATTGCTCCAAACCGATTTTAAATTAAATGCATTCAACTGTCATATAAAGACGTCACACAAACTCCACTGAAAAAATAGACTGTATTATTCACATCCAGGTTGTTCAGTTACAATGTGGCGATGCTGTTCTGGGTTTTGACGCCATGTTGACTCGTAGGTAGATACCAACGTTTCGGAGACACATAACAGCCGTGAAGTGTGTTTGTATACGTATTTGAATATGATGTAAATACGTACAGCGGTACGCTGAAAACATCAATCCCGCACATATTACTAACATCCGGGAAAGTATCAAAAAATATGTGATTATGTTTAACATGAACCAAATATTATATAAATCCTGGCTTCAGGGGTGCTTCTGCCTCCATCGTCATGGAAATGAGTTCTGATAATGACACAGTAAGTACCTCTGAAACGTCCGTGATCTTCTAACAGACTACACTGCGCAACATTCCAGAGGACGGTCATTTTCATACTCGCCGCCGTGAGAACCAGAAATCCCGCCGTATATTACACGATGATCCAATCGAGGATAAGACGGACGGGTCATGTACGAAGCGTTGAAGAGATGAAATATGCACACGAGACACTGATCGGAAAATATGAAGCGAGGAGACTACTTCAGAGACCTAGGCAAAGATGGGAGAATATTATTAAAATGGTTATATGGGTGCGGACTGGATTCAACTGGCTCAAGGTTAAGGTACAGTGGCTGACTGTTGTAAACACAGTAATAAATTTTTGCGTTTAATAAACGATAGGCTTCCTTGACTAGCAGAACAACTATCAGCTTCTTAACAACAACTTAGTTCTCTGAAGTTATTTTGTTTAATACAAAATTATGAACGCAGGGCACCTATTCGCACATTTCCGTTAATATTTGAAAAGGTTCAAGGTAATTTACGTAATAAAATTCTATTCGAGTTAAGTGACATGTTTCAGCACATCATTTCATGAAGTTCTGAGGACGACTGCACTTGCATTGCCCTAGCAAACTGCTTACGTACCACAAGAGAGACATTCCCATCACAGGCCATCAATGTCATCCGATGAATACGATACAGTGAAAGTTGTGATATATGAGATATGTAACGGAGAGGCATCCAGGAAGCTGAGCCTCCATTCACATAGAGTGCCGTGTTCGCTTCGCCATTCTGTATGCATACTTTCATTTCCGTCGCTATGACAATAGGATTTATAATAATAATACTTCAACACTATTGCGACTAGCAGAGTAACTAACACGTTCCGACACTACACAGGTTCAAATCTCAAACGAGGTAGTTTTTGCATAACTACTTACTGTTTCGTCAGTACTTCAAGGAGAAATTTTAGCAATACCTGACGTAGATCGTGCTGAAGCCCAACCTCATCGTTTCTGACTAGTAATCGACACCAATTTCTGAAAGAGTTCTTAAGGCAGCCCATCTAAGATTCGTGGCTCGAAGCTCAGAATTGAAGACAGCCTACGTAGATACTGGAACATATTCACAAGTTGCAGGCAGGTTTAACACCTAGTGCATATGAGTAAAATCTCAATGACTACTCATCGCCGTGATAATGGAGGCAGCAAGGACAGCTGAAACGTAGGTAAACTTCTACCAGACTCCACGCGCTACAACCAAGCAGGCAGGCAAGTTAATAAAACAAAGATTTTAATTTTTGGTTTGAAACGTTACGTTTGGTGCTTGAGAGAACTTTCACTTTCGTTCCGAGCTTCGCTTATTTTTAATGATCGGGTGGTTCGGAAGTTAGTACAGGATCTTAATGGCAGTGATGTATGAGTCTCGCGGCAGGAGGTTGGCTAGCCGAGGTCAAACACTGGGCTAAGAGCTTAAGCAGTTTCACTTAGGAGTGGCATATGTAGCTTGAAGCACTGGTTAACCAGTAATACTAAACTAAATGTGTGTTTTATAGGCATAACGTGTATTAATAGGCGAATGACACGCTTCGTACGTCTTCAAGCCCCAGTTTCTACACATCTCCATTAAAAAATATGACATTTTTTTCTAAGTCCATTGTCCTATGGTTTTCGCGACTGGGATTAAATGTACTACTCCCGCGATTTCAAGCGTTTCAACAAACATTGGTGCTGCCATCTTCACGGCAACATGACAATTTCAAATGCAGAGTTGCGTAACTGGCGTGTTCTAGACCCAGTTCGAATTAGAACCGGGATACTAGCTGTCCTATATGAAGATTTTCGTGAATTTCCTCAATATTTCCAGACGAATGGTGGAGTTGCACCTTGAAACCAGTATATATTCACAATTAATTATCTTTCGAGCTCATCCAGCACTCTATGACCACAGAAGTTGAATTACAACCGTTAAATAAATCAAGAACTAATCAAAAACATAGTAAGTCTTGTCGGGTCTACCATTTCTACGGCCGGACAGAGAAACTTCATCCCATTTAAGGAAGCAACTCCGGTTAATGTAAAGTACGAACACATGATTAGAAAGAGGAAGTCTTACATCATCATAGATCGAGGCTACTGGGTAAGCCGTATTTACACAACAGAGAGAAATGGTCAGCGACAATAAGGGGGGGGGGGGAAAAAAACTGAGCCACCACATTTGAACAAACTTCAGGTGTAACGCCGTATCTCACATGCGTTGTTTTTGGCTTCAAGAAACGTCTTGCAATTGGCTGATCCGACATGTACGGAGTCCTACCGTGTTTGTAACGGGCTAAATAAAATAGATACCTGGAGAGACAGAAAATGAACAAGTGTAATATCTCAAGCCTATAAAGGTGGTTTTTCTCGATATACACATCCGCTGGATAGTAGCATGTCTTCAAATATTCCACGACCACTTCCTTTAACATCCTTCTCAATTAATTGTTCAAAACCATCCTACTATTCGACATTTTAACGTGTGCATTTGGAATAGAGACGTTAAATAATACAACAGACAACCAATACTGGCTGGAAATGGCTCAGGATTGTGTCCACTTGTATAACTCTCTGTTAGGGATATTAGGCCAAAACATTTCGAATTATCTTATGAGACGGCTAGTAAAAAGAGAACGAACCCTCTGTGGCAGGTGGCACGTCAGGCGCCAAGTCCCGAGGAGGCGCTGGGGTTGCCTAGCAACGCGACGTCCATCCGCTCAGAAATCACCGATTCGTTCTCGTGTGAGTCGCGGATCTACGGCTACTACGCGGACGTTGACAACGAATGTCAGGTGTTTCACGTCTGTCTGCCGGTCCAGTACGCCGACGGCAAGGAGCAGACCTTCAAGTGGAGCTTCATCTGCCCTGAAGAAACTCTCTTCAATCAGGTAACTACAAGAAGTTTGAAAACGCACGAATATCGTAAAAATTCTAGCGTGTTCGTTCTGTTATTGTCTCTAGATTTTCTGTACGTGATTGCTAACTTCAGCGCATGAGGATGGGGAAGGACCTTCAACAGGACAGACGTTGCTCTGTATAACTACCAGACTACACGGCACAACAACCCAGAAGACAGCCATCTTCGGACTCGCCGTCGTGAAAACCTAAAATCATACTTGGCTGTATTAAATACTTATGTTACAGGAGAGCTTCACGTGCACGCGGCCAGAAGACGCAGTAGCATGTGAAGAGGCACCGCAGTACTACAGCCTCAACGAAGGTTTTGGCCAGACCGACCGACCGGCCGAACCATCGCCATCCCCAGCAGCAACAGAAACGGTTCCCCAGTAACAAACGCGACTGTACCTTGCGACGAAAATTTACTAAGCTGACAGTACTGGCAATGTTGATGCATTACTCGAATAAATCACTCACACACGGGCTTTTGCGTATTTTATGTACAGATTGAGGCACCTCAAGAGTTACAAGCAATGTACATGGAAACGGCGAAACAAATGGACTGAAGACGACTGTGTTCTGGTACGTTGCGCCGTGTCGTCTGATAGAAATTTACCGACATTTGAGACATACCTGCTGTCCCCATCGTCAGAGCAATTATATCTTCGATGACAGAAGAAACAAGTATCTCTGAAACGTCGATAAATTTCTTCCAGACAATACGACGGAACACAGCCATCTTCATTCTCGCTGCTATGTGAACCTGAAATCTCAAATACAAATGCACTGTATTCATTGGCGAATACGATGGTATATCGTGGTATAAAACTACAATGGCAGAACGTCACTGTGACGCACACGTGTCAGTGCTGTAATTACACGTGTAACACATTGCGTTATATCAGCCACAGCGTCCAGAATGATTATATAATAAAAGTATGTGTATAAAGTGAAAGTATATACAAATTTCATCAGACGATTCTGATGTATTTTGTATTTTTAGACATCCATAGGCATTAGCTTCAAATCTCTACAAGCTCACAAAAAATTATTGCGAAAGACCCTCATTTTCACTTTTGGAATAAGATAGCGCGGATACAACAATGACAAAATCACGGCATGTTACCTCACTGCAAAAGACTCGGTTTACCTTAAGGATGAGCAATGTTGCTTGATTTTTCCTTATAAACGTACTCATCTAATTACTACAATAATAGACTCTATAGTTGTAGGGCTCAATTATAAATTGTACAACCTTCTAATTCAAATAGCGCGAGTATATTTATGGCATGTAGGTGTACATTTGTGTTCTGTCATATTCTGAAAGTGTCGTTCTTTTGTAAAAGGAAAGTAATCTTGTCATTTAAGCAGAGTTTCCAATTTCCAGTTGACAGGCTGCATTTTTACTAAATTTTACTTATCCTGGCTCAAGGACAGGTTCTTGGGGATCAGAGAATGGTAATATATTTTTAGTTAATAAACAGAAAACCATGGGGTCTTATTTTATTCATGAATGAAGCACTTTCTTCCACTTTGTAGTATGTATCTCTCCACAGAAACTAAAACGGACATTAGTGTTAGCGTTCAGTATAAGAACACACATATAATGTCGTTACATGTCAGTACATACTATTTGAACTGTCACATTTAAAAGTATTTTGTCATCCATTATTGTGCCATCACTATATCTCACCCCCTCTCGTGGTCATAAAACGAATTTGACTGCCAAACCGATGATTCATGAGATCTTTAGGATATTAATATAGTGTCACAACTGTCTCTGTGACTACTAGGCCTATGACATTGTAATACTTTGTTTCTGTTAGTGTCTACTGCTTCATCGTAAATCATAAATAAACCATGTGGCGCCAAATGAGATTCAATCTGTTCCATACTTCTCGCCGCCCACATCCTTCATCCTCGCGGTTACGAAAGAGAAAGTGTGTGACATCAAAAATGGGAAGTTTGACCTTCAAATGCTCCAAAAGCGTGTTTTGGAACGTTTGTAACAAATGATTTGTAGGATTTGAGGTCTCGACGTCAGTGAGTACGAAGACTGCCGTCTGTTGATTTCTGGTAGACGTTTACCAGCGTTTCAGAGGTCCTTGCTTATTAATCACCCTGATGATTGAGGCGAGGACTTCTGAAACTCTGGTAAACTTCTACGAGACTAAAAGGCTAGCCTTGATAATGAGGACAGAGTTGGTCCTCGAAACGTAGGAGACTTCTAACAATTTGACACAGTCGATAACCCGAGAGGATTTTATTAATAATATATTAATATTTTACTACTGTGTAAGCTGTCATAAACATTATCAAACAGGGTAAAAATTGGGTTGGGTGTGTAGTAAGCACGGTTATGATAAATGTATACTGAATTTTGGTTTGGAAGCCTGAGGGAGCAGGACATTCGGAAGACCTAGGCATTTATGGGAAGATGACGATGAAAGTGAATTTTGGAAACAGATTTGGGGAGTGCGGACTAAATTCATCTGACTCACGATACTGACCGTTGGTGGGCTCTTCTGAACTCGGCAATGAACTTTCGCCCACTTAACAGCAGAATAACAAAGGTTGTGTGCATCGGGCCAACTCCGAAAGTTTTCTAACAACCACGTTTTGCATGCATGAACTTCCTGGCGGGAAATTAACTGCCCTGAAGAAATGTATTTTGAAAAAAACATAAATTCCAACACAACATTGAAACCAAAACCACACGAAAGCATAAACTAGTGTCATCTACAAGCAGTACCAGAAAGCATGATCTATGGCCATCTACAAAAGGTATAATGAACTACATGACTGAAGGTTAGCGAAGTGAAAGTAATGCCAACTATCTTCGGTTTATCTGTGCCGACGGCAACGTTAGATAATGGCTCTGATGATCAGCAAACGTAGTAGAAATGTAATTTGAGGCATCGTTTCACAGAAGTTATGTTCGTGATTGTGCCGACTGCTGACGATAATATTTAGATCTCGGGAAAAATAATTAATCGGAGGATGGATACAATTATGTAACGAGAAGTTCAGCATTTACAGTATATCCATCGCCTGATATTGTTACAGGATTACTAAACCAAGGAAGGTGAGAAGGGCTGGACATATATCAGGGGAAAAATTATGTGCAAATGGGAGGATACTATTAAAATGAAAGTTAAAGAAGCACAGTGTGAGGGTTTGGACTATTTTCAACCGGCTCAGGATAGGGTCCAGAGGCGGGATCTTGTACACACGGCAATGAAAATTTCAGGTCAAAGAAGATATTTTTCTTTTCGACCAGCGACTTACGTTTTCTCAAGGACTCTCCTTCATGGAATTAGTTGCTGAAGACATGATAATTGATATGTTAAACTGAACCTGTTGTGGCCGTTATACGTGCAATCCAGTAGATGTAATTGAAATAGTAAGGTCTATAAGGCCTATCAGGGTTCCAAAAACTATTCCGTAAACTTCTCGATTTTTATTGTATTTTATTTATTTATTTATTTTCCTTACAGAAGCCTGCTTTTCTTTCATACGCATTTTGTTAAAAGAAATATTAATGAAGGACTGGAGATTATTAATCGTATTTTAACATGGCAGCGGACAGTATTTTGCCACATATGGTCTGGAATTTGAAAGATATTGGCAGTTTGTGTCCGCGTGTTCGTTACCGACGAGGAGTAGTTGCTGAAGACACACAAAAAATAGTATAATTATAACAAATTATAAGCTCAAGATACGACCAGAAGAAGCAGCTAACTGCAGCTCTAACTCATGTTGCAATCGGTGTACCGTTGGTTCGATTCTCTCAAGGCCACAGTAAAAATGTCATGCAGATCTTACTAACGGCTAATTCGTGTCCCTGACTTTTCCTGACATATGAAACTCTTTGTCATGGCGTAATCGCAAGTTATTGTAATTCGTATCTCATGCCAATTTAATTGAACTTCAACAGGTGTCTTGCATTCTGTGTGGCTGAGGAATTTCGTGCAATAAAATGGAAATTACACGTGTCGAATGTATAAAGCACGTTCTATTTTTTATTGTTATCGTTATCGTTATTGCTGTTGTTATTGTTATTATTATTATTATTGAATAAAATTACTTATTGTTGAAGAAAATATTTCGACATGAGACGTCGTGTAATCTCGTATAAATTGACTGACGTTTCAGATATGCTTAGTGCCGCCATGATCATGGTGATAAGTAAGCACCGAGAGAAAATAGTTGTTGCAATATGCCTATAGGATATCCCATACACGGCGCAACATCCCAGAAGACAATCACCGTTGTTTTGTGTACCCCTCAAATTATTTTAAAATTAGAATTCCAGTGCGATACTAATATTCCGTAAGTGCGTTAAATTTTACTAACTAACTAACTAGATGGCTTACCGAACCCGAAGGTTCATCACCGAGTTAACCAAAGCCCTCCACCGGACCCTGTCCTGGGCCAACAAAATCCAGTTTCCTTCAACTCCTATCTCCCATAGATCCCGCCTGAGATTATCCTCCCATCTACGTCTAGGTCTCCCCAGAGGTATCTTCTCCTCAGGCTTCCCAACCAATACCCGGTGCACACCTCTTGTCCCATCCATGCGCGCTACATGTCCCGCCCATCTCACTCTTCTCGACTTAATCACCCTCACAATACTGGGGGAGCAGTACAGATTTTTAAGCTCGTCATTGTGCAGTTTTCTCCACGCCCCATCGTCTTCCCTCTTAGGCCCAAATATCCTCCTCAACACCCGATTCTCAAACACCTGCAATCTGTGTTCCTCCCTCTGAGTGAGAGACCATGTTTCGCACCCATACAAAACAACAGGCAAGATTATTGTTTTGTATACTTTAATTTTCAGGTTCTTAGAAATCAGACGGGAAGACAAAATATTTTGGACTGAGAAGTAGCAAGCATTTCCGGAATTTAGTCTCCTCCTAACTTCCTCACAAGTATCATTTTGATTTGTTATTGTTGTTCCCAAATATTTGAACTTTGTAACCCTTTCAAAGGATTTATTAGCCACCCTAAGATAATTTTGCCCGCCTGTCTTCTGATTACGAGATACTAACATGTACTTAGTTTTTTCTGAATTTACTTCTAGCCCCACCTGTCTACTAGCCTCTAGTAAAACTTCTGCGTTCCTCTTTATTGTATTTATATCGTCCCCCAATAAATTAATATCATCAGCATATGCCAATAGCTGATGTGTCCCGTTCAATTGCCAACCCTCCTGCCTACCTTGGACCTTCCTGATGGCGTATTCTAGCGCAAAGTTAAAGAGCAAGGGAGACAAAGCATCTCCTTGTTTTAGACCGTTCTTGATGAGGAATGTCTCAGATACATATTTACCTACTCGAATTTTGCTACAGGTTTCATTTAAGCACATTTTTATTAGACCCACTAGCTTCTTATTTTACAATATAAATAAATACTTCTATAAATTTTCGTTTCTCATCGCACCCACTAAACACTGATTCCATTCATTTTCAATCATATGCCATAGTAATGTTCTTTAACTTTATATTTTACAAATAAGTTTTAATATTTTAAAATATCTAGTGTTTATTTTACATTTGGGGATAGAGAGAAAAATGTAATCACAATAAATCTGACTTAACTGTTTACACAATTTTTTTTAAAGTTCGTCAGAAACCTATAAACGGTGATGAACTTGGTGTATTTACCGGTGTTTCATGACATGAAGTGCCTAATTTCGGTCCATGTAATTGAACCGCTAGATACTCTCATATGACTAAGGCAATGCATTAATGACGCCTGTTGGTTCCGTCTCCACTCAGATGCAGTCAGATGTTTCGAAAACTGATATTGTGCCTACCGTTCATCTTCCATAACATTTACACGTCACTTATCAATTTTTCTCTCTTAGAATCTACCATCACAATCAATGCACTCTGTAAAATCACATCACAATTAGGCTTCAGAATCTTCAGCTTGTGGAGAATTCAAGTCAGCTTCAATTTCCTCTGGACTTCTCAAATCAATGGCGAATTTCTTCTTGGCGGCTGCTAGTCCGTCTTTACCGTCCTCGTCACCACTTCTCGCCTTCACAATCTTACTGTACTCACGAAACGCCGAAGCAAGTGCATAGGTCAGCTTTCTGGCACTATTTCTACTCTCACAAACAAACGCATGACATTCGAAAGGATGCTGATCTTTCAGATCTCCTATCTCTCTAACAACAATCATAGAAAACACTCTGGTGTACACCAGATCTTGAACACCGTAAGATATCGTGTCTATGGGATGAAACTTCAAAATCTCCTCGGACTTTTTCTGCAGTTGCACTATACTGACACCTTCTTTAGAAACTACGAGTTTAACCATTGGTAGCACTGTTCCTGCTTTTAAATTCTTTGCCGAAGCCACCATAGCATCTACCGGTCGCCTCGTGTGTTTAATTCCCCACAGGCCTCTAGCATCACGCTGGCCAAGGTACTTGACTTGGAAGCCCTGAGGGAGATCGTCGTCTTTGGTCGTTGGCGCGGCTTCAGTCGGTTGATTCTCAGGCATCTCACTCGAAGACATATTACGTAAAATACCAGGACCTGGTTGTTTAGGTGAAGATAACTTGGCTACTGTCGCCTTCCTCTTCGAGGCGTCATATACCTGACCTAGCAAGTCGACCTGAGGAAAATCCAGCAAAGTTCCTCCAAGCTTGCGCAAGCTGAAACCATCTGTTTCGTCCGATAATTCGCCACTCGATGCAGTACCATGCTCCTGTTCTGACTCTAGTTTTGTTATGGAAAAGACGTCTTCTTCAACATCCTGTTTTGTATCCTCGTCATTTCCGGTTGTTCCGGGTGCAATGATGGAAGAATAGTTGTCCACCTGTTGTTCCTCACTTCCGGCGCCATTGTCGTCATCCTCAGTTGGTAGTGAGGGGGAAGGGCCGCTACGTGTCAGAGCATTTTCCAGTACCCTGCTGTCACGGCTCACAAAACCGAAGTCCTCATCTGCTTCCAAACCTTTTTTAATGTTGGAATTCTCTCCCATGATACAAACCAGAAACCCCGTGTACAGATGCTGCAGCTAAAACAAAGCACAGTACGCTTGTATCTTGCTTCTATAACTTGTGATTTCTGCAAATAAATTTACATAGATGATGATATAAGTAAACGTGATAATGACCTATGTACCAAAAGATGAATTTCTTTGAATAACGCCGCTAAATAAATCACAGATAAATTGTAATGTAATATTACAGGACTACTATAAGGAATCTTCTGTAAAGATAAGAAGTTCTGTTTTAAAAACTCCATTACTTTCCTGGTCTGAACAGTTCGAGACCTATTGTATATATACAAGGCAGTCGTTCTGCAGAAATAAACCAAGAATATCAGTCACTATAAGACGGTCACCTAATCGAATTAAAGAATAAATAAATTCCGATCAAAGGTAATTGGTACAAGGTAGAAAATGTTTTAACAAACCTATAAAAACTGCTATGGTATCAGTAACTGAAGTTTATAAAATTGCCGCTGACTTGAAATCAAAAATGCTCAAAAGCTAACAAACAACGTTTTTACAATAAATTCGGTTGTAAGGAGAAATACAGCTGATGTTATCGAGTTAATAATAGGTATATTTTTAAAGTTGAGGTAATTAGTTTCGCTTTCTGTCCATGGCATTACAGTTTTCTGCCGGCTCTCGACGCAGATATGAATAGCCAACAAGGTTCACAGCAAGTAAAAAGTTTGTCGACCCTTTTGCTAAATTAATAACGTCCATTCAAATGCTACTAAGCCATCCGCGACAATTGTCATTGCATTTTAAAGCATCGCACAAAAATTATAACTACGTATCATTGTTCCGAAACCGTATGGTTCACAAACAAGTGTTCTATGTGAGGTCCAACAACACAGAAAAGAAACAGAATGTTTCTCAACAACAGACATTTGGTTCTAGCCGCGGTTCTCCGATAGAGTGTGCATGTAGGTTAATAATTCAATAGTCTGTTAACTCCGTAAATAACCAAGAAAGGGCTTGATCACATCTACACTTTTGTTCTTAATTCATTTTACAGTTCTGATATGAAGACCGTTACGCCAATAGCAGGTGATGCCCCATTTTAAAAAGCAGCTGCAACATTCCTGATCTTCAGGTATGAAGATCACCAAGTGCGGTTAGTGAAGTGAACTATAACCCCTAATGCAGCAACTACTGAAAAATAACCGAGTTAGGCGAGCAAACACTTGAAAAATTAAAAATAAAATGTATTCTGTCCTACGTTCGTGGTTTAATGGTATTCCAGAACCGAGTAGGTTCCATAGATACTCAGCTCTAGCCAGTCAGTGCTCACCAGGAGTGTAAGCCCCAACTAGCTGGCTAACAATGAATGCAAGCTGGAACTGGCTAAAGATTCATTGTATCTGTTCGGTTCTGACGTGTTCCCGTGTATGGAGTACCACTGAACCACGAAAGTAAGACAGAAGACACTGAATTTTTCTCAAAGTATCCTGGAAAAGGAGACGATATTTTTCTCCAAAACGTTGGTATCCACATACAAGTCCACACGGCATCACAAAGGGCAAACCGAACTTATTTTAATGGCCCTGCCAATCTAAAATAATACCACAGACAACAAAGAACGACATCCAATATAATATTGGTACAATCAACCAAACGCTTTCACAAACCTTTATAGAATCATTGCAGTGTTAAGCTTTATAAAATAAAACGTACTTGCTTTCTGTAATCAAAAACGCAAGAGGACAGATCCCGGGATCTGCATGAACACTGTTCAGTATACTAAAGGACGACGTCGTTATCAAAGGCACGGAAGCTGAGTCTTATCAGTAGATAAGTTATCTCGTGCACATAAGGGACTGATTACGTACTTCAGCTACAAATCACCTACAGGTGCGCAGAGCGAGAACGTGTACTCCAGTTTGGAGTAATAATATTTTTATAAACCCGACGATGCAGAAATGCTTGCTGCCTCCTTCATCAGGATGATCCCCGATCGCAATCGGTAAATTTCCTGTTCGATCTGCATACACCGTTGGCCTTGATGATCGTTTGCTGAAATACGGCTAATGTTGCAAACCCATTCAGACAGATATCGCAGAATTGTCACAAATCATTTCCCTCACTCTCCGGTTCAACGGAGTTCGTTCTGAACTTCATACCGGTCCAATACGAATCAAAATTAATCTGGCAAGATGTGAAGTTCTCAAAGCGCATTATCCCAGAAGGCTGTCATTGCTTTCTGGGATGACGTATCGTATATTGTGGAAGACACTGACCGAAGTTTCAGGGGAGCTTAGTGCTTCCATCAGCAGGACGACGACCGCAAGAATTTTCAAAATTAAATTCTCTCCAGAATTTGTTTTATGGAAAATCTTTTAGTGTTTCAGGAGAGGAAACATAAAATCAGACATAATATGATACTTCTGACACCAATGTAGCGTGGGTCGGTATACAACCTTGATTGTCAACCCTTGATTTCTTGCGGGGTCTACTACCTCAAATCCGATCTCAGTTGTAAACTTGGTTGGATTGTAAGAGACCACAAAGTCTTCCAGCAATAATGAATTTAATCAACTAAAACGTCTTTACAGCACAAAATAATCTCGTCTACAACACACTTCTCCTACAAGCGATTCACACTTCAGCTCTCTTCGCAGTATTTCTTCCACACTCTCACCTACTACACTACTTAATACAACAATGCATGAATACAACAATGTCTATAAACTAACAACAATGCCAACCCCAACACATCACAATACTTTAAGTTCTCACGACATTGGCGATGGGGATATTATACCTGGTAATCTTCGTAGGAAATATCTTCGGCGGTACCCACAGCTCTGTGTTACACAGAGGGGCCCTGCACCTAGGAATCGCGCTCTACTGATTCCGGATTTACCGTTCGACGCTGTTAACATATGCAATCAGTGGAGCGTCTCATATAGCCTTCAGCTGTACAAAATCTCCACGCGATTAAGTCAGCCTAGTTACAGTTCTTGCAAGGTGTTATGGGCTCATACTAGTTTACATAGCGCGAGTCTAAACTTCGCAGCATCGTTACAAACGGTCGCATTAGTCTAGCTGAAAACATAGAGTTGCTTTGTTAAAATTCCACTGTCGTTACCTGAAGTAATGAATCTATGTTTCACTTTCAATTTCGTCAACATAAGTAAAACTATAAAATATCTAATATAGTAGTTATAGTTTCTTAGGCTTTATTCGTCGTCTTGGCTGTAGCCACCTACAAGACTACACGGCATCACAATTAATGAAATGACAATCAACTTCACCACAAAGGTTCAACGAAAGGTGCATTATATTTAGTTAAAATAATGCAACTTCCATTAAAGCTTCCTTCGGAACCAGTTTGCAAATACGAACTATTTACAGATTATTGATACTTGTCCCACTCTGTAGTTATATTAAAAACTGAAACAAGTAGCATGTTGGCACCTTAATGATATCTACTGTACTTTTATCACGTAAGTTATCTGAATACTTACCACTCGTCAAACAAGAAAATGCACAATAGCGTGACCATTTGCTCCAGAATTGCAGCAGTGGTTTGCTATTGAAGTTTCGTATGGGAGAAATGAATGAGATTGCGCTCATGACAATGGCTCTGGGAAGTCACCCACGGTGTTGCAGGTGAAAGCATCAAGATCAGTGGCGACAACCGAACACGCGATTCCGATCGCCACAGCGAAAGAGCAGGAATTAGTTTTAACAGGAGACTACTAAATTTCCTGTCAAGAATGACTGGAAAATCTAAAGTAGCAAACGCGCATATTCACAAACATTCTTAACGGCCTTACCACGGAAACGGTTATAACAACGCACAACATAAGTATTATCCCGTAAGACCCATAATCACGTGACAGCAAATGCTCACCAATGAACCGAGCTTTCAACCAATTCTCGCTTAACTTTACATAGATTAAAACCTTCTTCGTAGGATTTGAGGTTTTCACGGCGGTGAGTCCGATGGCTGTCTTCTGGGTTGTAGCGCCATGTACTCCGGTAGAAGTTTACCAACGTTTCAGAGCTCCTTGCTGCCTCCATCATCAAGCGATGAGACATCTTCCTGATTATGGAGGCAACAGGGACCGCTGAAATGTTGGAAAACTTCTACCAGACTAAACGGCGCTACAACCCAGAAGACAGCCATCTTCAAAAGGTTCTTCGACCACGCCTCACAAAATATTTTTGAACAAAGAAGCTCTGTGCAGACGTAACGTTTTACGACAGTCACGTCAAACGTCCAGTCTACTTAGGGTTGCTTAAGAAAGAGGCGACTGTTCCGAAAACTATCATATGGCTGAGGAAAATAAAACTGCCTAATTTTATTAATTTTAGGCTTAAGCTTAAGACACACATTTCGTTTTTCTACTTCCCCATTAGCACCCACAAATGTAAATTGAATTGAAACATATCTTCATTTTATTTAATTAAAATATAAAACAGCAGTACACAGCCATATGACATGAATTTGAAACTTTCAATTTATTAAACCTGGGACATTTTGGGCCGCACATCGAGTATAATTCGAGATCTCGACTAGTGTACATGAAACGCCGAAGATTGCCGCGAGTTCTACATGTCTTCGGGAGATAGTCAGTTATAATTATGACCAGATTCACTCTCTGACGTCAATTGCAGTTTTATGTATTTTGACACAGTGCAATCTTCATATGTGGTTATCAACGTTTCGGAGGAACGTATCGCAACCATTTTCAGTTCCTTTTGTTTAACCACCTTTTGTGTTAACGATCATTTAACCATAATTATGGTAAAATCTGTACGTTTAAGATGGAGGGAGATATTACTAAAGCCACTGTTCCGTCTTAAGATTGGTTCATCATCTTCCTCCTTCAATTGATGCAACATGTGAATGAGCGCCTCCCATCCTTGTATTTCTCCTCACTGTAATATCTTGAGTAAGATTCTGACAGTGAGAGCGGGCATGATAATAGCTGCTATATAAGCGGCGCTGAGAAAACAGCTTTATTCACTTTCATAGTTTCCTTAGCTACAAGTGGCTTCAATTATTTATAAAGGTCATTATTTGCATCGAGTAAAAATTGTTAATATTCTTGACACCAACATTTAACAATCCAAAAAATGTAAATTGCTTCCTGTTCATTTTTAAATCAAAGTCCATTTAACAACAGAATTTTTATGTCTTCGTATTTTCTGTATGGATAATGTGCGAATTTTTGTTACTTTATTTCCAGTGAACGTGTGTGATTTCAGTGATCACCGTGTGAGTTTCCAGTGATATTTTTCAGTAAAAAATATATCGCTATCCAGTACAAAGGTAAGGCGCGTCTTAAACGTAAGATGACGGGACCATGGATGTAAAAAAGCCCATTAATGATAATATAATATGGTGTATTCTAACTCTAAAATGCATGGAAATGTAAGCCAAACATTCAGATTATTTCTAAATCACTAATGTCATGGACCATTCTTGAGAGTAAGAGTCACTGAGGTGGTCCAGAAATCCCCCGACTTTTATAGAACCATAAATTTCATTACCGTGCTCACAACAGCTCATCAACAGTCACTACCATGAGCCAGATTACTCCATTTTATTATTACCCTCCCATTTACGGCTAGGTATCTCAAGTGATTTCTTCACTTCAAGTTATCCATAACAATTTTTACACATATTATTTATCCATGTTTGTTACATACATTACCCATCCCATATTCATTTTATTTTATGGCTCTAGTAGCATTTACTGAGTACAAATTATGAAGCTCATCACTGTACAGTTTTCCAACATTCTGTCACTTCATCCCTCTTACGTACAAATATTCTTCTCAGCACCTTTTCTCAAACACCCTCAACATATGCCCTTCCCTTAACGTGACAGACTAAGCTTCACGTCCACACAAAACAGCAGATTAAAATTAGAATTCTGCAACTTTGATATTTATACGTTTTCAGATTTACCACGTGAAGGCAGAAGAATCTGAAGTAAATTTAGCCTGCTTCTAAATTCATTCAGATAACGTAACTGGTGCTCTTCTGCTAAAATTATCAAACAACAGTCATGAATGTGTTAATGCAAAGAATTGTTAAAAGATACGATTATCGATTGTGACCTACGATTAGTTGATAACCGTCAAACACTGTTCGTTTTGATATAAAAATATATGACTTTTATTCATTAATAAGTGATTGAAACTTCTGTGGGTTCTTTAGCGATGAAAGTAAAGTCACTAAATGTGTACACACGCAGAACAATCTAAGTTCAGCGTGATTTGTTTCCATAGTCATTTATAAAGTTAAAACAACAATGTTAAGTTCAGGGTGCCTTATTTTCAGATGATCTGTTCGAGACACGTTCTGTTTGGGTCTCTCTTCGCTGTGATCGTTACCACAGCAACATGTCAAGTAAGTTCACATGTCACCTTTCCATTATCAAGTCTAATTTGTTACTTGTAAAGTAAAACTTATATCATAGTATTAGTAATGGTATATAGCAATTAATATAAATATAATACAAATAATAAAAACAACGTTTTAATAAATGTGTAATCCGTTGCAAAATATTTGTTTTAAAATCAATTGTATAAGAATTTCACAGATTTTAACATTTTAACTACTTTCGAAGTGACATTTCTCGTAACACTATTACGAAAAAATTAAAAAAACTTCAGTAACAAGGAATTCATAGTGCGATAAACAGAATATTAAAATTACCATAAAGGAACCCAGAAAGATTAAATATTAAAAGTTATGGAAGTTCCCACACTTTTGTGTGACTGTACAACGTGGGTTTAGATCTAAAACGTTAAATTCAGACTATGGCAATATAACTTCTACATGCCAAGTTAGATAAAACCAAAGAACGACTATCCATTGAAGGAGCTAACAATTATCCAGTAAATGGAAGAATAAACTATTACAGAAAAGCTTGATTAACCCACTTGAACAGGATAAGGATAGACTTCCGAGACTTGCAATTCGTTGAAATCCAAAGGAATGTACAAGTACGTACAAACAATTTCAAGGATGAAGATTTCTGTCTTCTGGGTTGTTGCGCTGTGTAGATGAATCGCCCTGATGACGGAGACAGTATGACCTCTGAAGCGTTGGTTAATATCGACCAGACTACACAGCGCAACAACCCAGAAGACAGATCTCTTCATACTCACCGCTGTGAAAACCTCAAATCTTACAATTTCAAGGATGATTACAAATGATCAGTACGCTTAAGCATAACTCTTAGATGTCTGAAGAAGGGCCGATGAAGCAAATAATAATAACACAGTAATTAGTTGTTATAAGGCAAATGTAAGTGGGAAAAACGTTCATGAAACGGAACAAAACAAGAAGCTAGATTAAGAGAAATACTTTCTTGACGTGTGTTGAACAAGGTGATAAATATTTTGGTTCCATAAAAGAAGACGTCTCTCCTGACTACTCTAACATTATTAGTTTCTCAATAAGGACTCTGTTTCTTACAGTTACTGTTAGTTATTTCTGGTGTCCAGAGTCGGGGACAGCTTTAACTTCATATCTTGTCTTGCTTCTACACTGGTTAAGTGGTTCTATATGGTTGAATCACACGCTTCTTTCCCGAACTAATTGCGCCCATAAACATGGAAGTGTCAAGTAGACGTATCTTTACCACAGGAACTGAACCGTGCACAGGCAAACGAAGTGCGCGTCGCGTGTTGTAACACTTGAAATTAACATAAACGGTGTTCAGTCGGCCAGTGAGATTCGAACCAGAGAGAAACCACAACCCAAGGCCGTGATAGCGTTATTGTGGGTGCTACTCGGCTTCATCTCTTGCGCAAATGGCTGCCTATTACAACATGATTCTAACATATCCGAACTTTATTGGAAAATCCCTATCGACAGTGTGACCAAATCCAGTACCACAGATTAAAATTGTCCGTTTAAATGTGAGAAGTAAAATTATACGCAGTAACTGACTGATATTCATGAGACTGATCGCCCTGATGATGGATGCAGGAAGCACCTCTGAAACTTCGGTAAACTTCTACCAGACTACACAGCGCAACAACACAGAAGACAGCCATTTTTATACTCGTCGCCGTGAGAACCTAAAATCTCACTCTATATGCAGTATGCTTACCATATGTGTGTATTTTCACTCTCTGGTGACCATATATGATTGCTGAGGTTTTCAAGGTCCTGATTATCTGAATAGTAGTCTTCTGAGTTAAGACATGTAGTCGTTTAGGTGGTTAAAGCAAAGTTTCGCAATAAATTGAGTTAGGTAGCGATGTGGTTCGGATACAGTATGTAGAAGGTGGTCATTGGGAAATGTGAGGAAAAGTACAGTCCCTTAAAAGGTAATAAATTCCATGTAAATTTGCAAGGTGCGGACAACATTCATTGTTAAGTTCTTAAACAAAAGCAAGATGTAGGAACAAAACTACAGAATTACCATAAATTAGTGGTCGATTTGAAAGGCATGCAACAATTTATTTACAACGCAGACGAGAAATTTATGTATGAATTTCGGCGACCACATGTCAAAAAACTTAAAAGTTGTGTGGCTGTTTTGCAGAGCACCGATTTTTCGTATGTGTTATAAATAAATAATTATGCAACCTTAAAATCTTCCGCTAATTTATGGACATCCGGTATATACAGGGATAACTTAAAGTTAAATCGCCATTGAACCGCATGAGCTGCGCTGCGTCATTACCCAGCACAATAAACAACGAACGACATTTCTATTTCAGAAATTACGTGCTTCTCTGAACACGAACAATGAACAGCTTGTACAGCGTTGCTTATACAGTTTTCTTCTCTGAGTAGTTCCATCTTTCAGTCTTTGATGTACATTCGTCATTGAAAAACAATTTAATAATACATATCTGTGTTTACTCAAATGTAAAAGGGTAAAATACAATACATACGCTTAATTAATAAAGTGAAAGGCTAATGTTGAGAATATATTCAATCCCCTGTCCGTGCGTTTCATTTCTCAAGCCACTTAGAAAGATTTCGATTACATTTCGAACGTGTAGTGTGCTAAAAGTTATCGGATGGCTTTCATTTCGAAATTTTAGAATGTTTGCGTTAACGCATTCGATGAAAAATATCTAACTTTTAGCACTTCCGGTAAAGCGATTTTTAGTCCAAAAGCAAATATCAGCTTAAGGTCATTAATTTAAATCGCATGAGTTTATACTTTGTCACTTTATCACGGTCCCGAGAACTAGAAATTTCCTTGAAAGGGTCATTCCGAATGACTTAGTCATTCAGATCAATGTGATGACATTACTGAAAGTAATTTCAGAATATTACTTCCAGGAAAGACATGTTTTTAGGCATAACACAGATTGTGGAATGCGTAAACAAATAAAGACGGTGATTAGACTTGCTTTGGGGTAGCCCAACTTACAAAAATTTTGGGGGAAAAAAACGCAGTCGGTTATTCAACTGCCACACCTCGTAAATTACGTATACGTTAATTTCAATTTTGTTTCAACATAAAAAGGATTACAGAGACACTCACAGTTGTTTGGCTCCCATTACCTGTGGCAATTCTGATTCTGCCCCATACTTTCACGGATAAAAAGTTTTCTATGTGTTTTACAAATTATACAACGATAAGAACAAATCTTTAAATACAATGAAAAATTTAAATATGAAGATAGCTGTCTTCTGGTATGTAGTATGTAGTCTTTATCATCGGAAGCTCCACATCGGTTAGTGTCTACAAAAGCAAGACACTAACCGATGTGGAGCTTCCGATGATAAAGACAGCCGTGAGAACCTCAAATATCACTAAATTAATGTACTTTTTAATGTATTCATAACTAAATTAAGTGAGGTATTAATTTGGGGAATGCTGAGGATTAAAACAAAAAATTAAGCTGTGGGACCAAACTGATTTGGAGAGACGGTTGTTTAATTCACTCATTAACACATAAATGACTGGGATCTGAAATATTGACTTTTTCTTATTAAATCACCTCACACCAAAGATCCTTAAATGATAACGGTTGCTTACTGTAATCTTCAGTTACCTAACCGGATGTGTCATTACACGGTCCGCTGTTTCTCCCTTTCCGTTGATTCAAATATTCTTTCTCCGTGGTTTAAAAAAGATCAAAGTGGGCCACGTCAGAGAAACATACCCCGGCAGGCACTCCTTTCGCAATGACAAGGCAAACTGTTCGAAACAGCAATCGGTTGTTAAAAGAACGGAAATAAAAGTTTTCGTAGTTCAGCGTACAACTAATCAGAAGAAAACACAGACTTCGCTGAGCTCAATAGAGAATTTAATGGCCATGGCTAGACATAATACTTGGACGACCCGTTCTTCAAGTGCCTGAGCACTGCAGGACCCAACTTTTCGTTGGCTTGATCTATAGACATTCGGTAAGACTCCTTGGACGAGGGATCGGCCCGTCGCAAGGCCTCTACCTGTACACAGGACAGCACAACACAGAAAAACGCGGACAAACATCCATGGCTTGAGTGGGATTCGAATCCATCGAAGCCATCTTAATGCCATGTCATAAATCCGTTTCAGTATAGGACTTCTATGTACTTAACAAGTAATTAACGTCTAAAGACCGAAATACATTGAAACAAAAGCAAGTAAAATGAGTAGATATACAATGAGAAGTGTTCAGTAATAACATTACGAGATGATATGACATAGCAGGATTACGTAAAATTGCTCTAATACATTAAAGTTTAAAAAGGCTAATAGAATGAAGCCATTATTAAAACATGTGAATATATACAAGAAAGTTCAGTAAGGAAATTTAACACTTGGCGAAGAATGTCAACGTCCCACCATTGTTGCCTGTGGGAGCTGTTACTGAGAGGCCGCGGCCATCAAAAGTCTCGACACGTTATTAATACGTTTTAGTAACTGAAACTTTCTACTGCAAGAAGATGGAAATCTGCTTTCTTTCCTTCTTAAAATCAAAGGGTAACTCTGTACAAATAAAATATTATCGCTTCAGATTTCATGCCTCAATAGTCGACTGAAATAACCTATGGAAACCATTTTCTTACAACGCTGCATTGCCAATAACAGCAGACCTACACCGGATGCACGCTTTATTAAGGCATCTTTCAACATAGTCGATGTCAGTGTGGCATTATTTGGAAATAGTGCCATGAACAATATACGTTTCCCACTGACGCTTCTTCATAAAACCATCACCACTTTCTGATTCGTGCCCGCCCATGACTGCGACAATAAATCCATCATCGGAACTTTCTGAACAAATGTAACAATTATTGAACACGGCTTTAAGTTGGAGTTCCATATTTTCCAATAAAGTTGCACAGTACACAGGTGTTATATCACACAGGCAATACAAAAATGAAATCAATTATTTAGTCTGAAATCTACATTTTTATAATCACTAACTAAAAACCTAATCAATTCTGCGAAACAAAATCCTTGAAAACGCTCATAGTAACTCGGAAGTCAAGAAATTCCCAGCGATTTATAAACCCGAAGGCCCACGGCCGTTTTCACAATTGCTAGTCACTGGACCCAATCCTGAGTCACTTGAATCCAGTTCAAACTTGCATGCCATGTTCTTTCAGCATAAGCCTGGGTCTACAAAGCAGTTCCTTGCCTTAAGGCTTCTAGACTAAAATCTCGTATTCATTTCGCATCTCGCCAACGCGTGCTACATAATATTAGTGAAACAGTACAAATTATGAAGCCCCTTCTCACAAACATGAAGTCTATTGTTCCCTGGAAACAGGAAACAATCAGTATTACCAGTAAAACAGAAAAAATGTAACCTGTATCACGCGACATAATCTCATTACTGTTCTTCATTGCAGCTATAAAGTAATTATCAGTCCAAGTTTCATTAATTAAGAACGTGGTAGTTAAAAAGTCCCACAAATATTATGTCAACATGTCTTGTTCTCTTAAGATGAGATAACAATGTGAGTTGTCCATGTGAAATGGAGTTCCCTGTGCAACTTTTAGCTCGTGTTTATGAAACATCTGTAAAGTATTAATATAATATACCTTTCTAACAAAATATCCCTGCATCACAGAGATTGAAACGTAGCTCAGATTTAGGGCGTCTGGCTTCTACTGGGGAAGTATCCGGTTCGAATATCTCATAAAAGTCGACTCTCCTCAGCGAGTTCTTAATTCCTCCAGCTGAACACCTAAGCACTAGCAATCATCATGAAAATTTCCTTCTAAATCTCTTTCGACTCTACGTTCAGATTAAAAGACAAATAACTTTAAAGGTCGACACGATCTCATTCTAAATAATTTTAAAAATTGTAAAAAAAAAAGTACACACCACCTTCTTACAGATCCTTTAGTGTCTAAAAATCAGTGGCTGCTATCTTTTTCGTTCCAATGGTTCTCTAGCATCAAGATACCCTGTTACACAATAAAAATGTCTGGCATAACAAGAAGTTCCGGGCTACGCTCATGAAACAAAGTACATATCGTGTGTTGTTAATGTAATAATCAATTAGGCATTTCAAGTTAAAAATCCAACAGCTAATAGAATGAAACTTAGATCGTGGGTTAGCGTGCGTAGAGTTAAAACTAAATTGTAGAAGCAACTACGTAGTTATTTATTTGGTTCATTTCGTTGTTCGGTGATTGAGATTAGCTCTTACTAACGGATATAACTGAGTTCTACGTGTTTTATACTTCTTCATCTGAGAACGGAAACAGAAATCTATTTTCTGGAACGTTGCGCTCAGTTCGGAAAACTATACGATGGATAAAAACCAGAAATATAGTAATACACTAATTGCTTGGGATTCCCTTGAATACGTAGCAAGTAAAAATCCAGTACACGCTTCAACATTTCAAACCTAGTTATATACCACTCTTTAACAAACAGGAAATATACAAAAATGTCAACGAGACATTTCACTTTTGATAAAACGTTTCACATTCTATCCGTAAATTGGATATTCCTACAGATTCGCGTTATCTCATTGCAGATCTTAATAACTGGTCTATTTCCCCACTAACGTTAGATGCATGAATATACAGCCAAACTAAAGCTGATTAAAATTGAGAAACATCGATTATAATCGCATTTGTAATAAAGAGAGGCAACTTTCAAATCCATCTCCTGGCAAGTAGAAAGTTAAATTAGTATAATCAGGATTTACGAAATCATTTGTCTTCATAGCATCCTTCCGTTTTTATAATCAGAGAGAAGAAATAAAAGCTTACAGTGTCCATAAAAGGTCAGTTTACTTTTAAATCTGTTGTTTTGTCCTGAAATGAAAATTACACTCCGTTCACTCCATATAGGCTATGTGTTTGAACTGGTTTTAAGTGAAAATAAATTAGACACTCAACAAAGGAACGAAGGGCATTTGAATTAATATGCTATTATCTACCGTTCTTTTTATTTCATGATGACTCCAGCACAAATGCACATTTCGTCAACTTTCTCACAGAAGTTTCATGTACTAGAAACATATAAGAAGTTTAGTTTAGTTTTTCACGGCGATCTGAATATCGATGATTCTCTGCGTTGTTACTTCGTGAAGTATTTTAGGTGTATGGCAACATTTCAGACAAACATACCGCCTCCATCATCAAGACTGATGGTGGATCAAAATGTTCACCAGAAACATTATTTGAAGCTTTCGCGGTGACGTAACTCAATATAATCTTCTAGGGTTATCAGCCGCGTCAGAAGATGCGACATCAGAACCCTGATGATGGGGAAAGAGATGGTCCCTGAAACGTCGGTTTCATCGTTTAAACATCTGACGCGGCGGATCACCCGAGAAGATTTTATTCACCCGAAACGTTTGCATACAGCGAAAAGTCTATGTGTTCGCTCCATTGATATACTTGTCGCAAGATATCTCCGAGCTTCGGTGATCAATTACAATTACACACGTTGGAGGCCAAACATTTGCGGCAGAACGTCACCACCGAGGAACCGTGGTCCAACAAATGTTCATTAGGAAGTGTCTTGATCTTAACACACACACACGAGCCCTGACCTAATAGTGACGAGTCTTAATGTGTGAAAATGAAGAGGCTGTACTTACAGGTAGTGGAGATAGGCCAAAATGCCCTTCCAACTGCACTTCTTCAACACGTACTACACACTTCTGCCGGCGCTGGGAGCGACTATCAGATTCGAATTTGGAATCGTCTCAGCCAACAGCTTTCAAAACCTTACGGGAAGCCTTATTTGTTGAGCAGCTGGGCTGAGTGAGCAGACGTGCATTGTGACAGTGGATCTGCCTCGTCGGAGACTTGAGAACCACTTAAGATGCACTGCATCACGAGGTGTCTCAGCACCTGTAAACAGAATTGTTAATTACTAGTATGAGTTTGTACCCAAGGCATCTCTTTCAGCCAGTCCTAAAAGTAAAGCTTTTATTTTCTTTACTTTTACATTAAATTATATGGAATTAAAATCCGCATTTGGAACGGACTTAAGGCCCTGGCTTTTGAATCGAAATTTATTATACCTTGTCTGTATCTCGCACAGATTTAGTTACTATTTGGGAAAGTTTCTGTTTTCTCTGTTTCATATTAAGAAAATTATGAAAATTCTAATTTTTGTATACCAAATTAAATGATTATCTGTATTCACAGGGTGAGACATTGAGAAAGTTAAATTCGTCCGACTAGTCAATACATCGCCAGCGTTTTATGAAACCCGAAGGTTCCGCATCGTGTTGATAAGAACCCACCAATGGACCCAAAACTAAGACACTCCATAACCTGTGTCGTTAAGATATATTTGAATATTATCCTCCCACCTACTCCCAGGTCTCTCAAACAGACACTTCCATTTAGAGATTCCAACTAAAATATATGAAATTATCTCTCGCTGTTTGTGGTACATGTTACACCAATCTTGTCGTCCTTAATTTGACACCCCTAGTAATATTTGGTGAGTGGTACGGTACAAATTATAAACTCAGATCAAAACACTCATACGTTTTGACTATAGATGAGAGGAAATGCTAGAATGTCCGCTTGGTAAATTAGTTGGTACGGATCTACCATCATTATTTATGGTACCAAAACATGAATGAATTAGTTTCATGCATAAGAATTCGAACAATGAAATATTCCGGAAATGATGACATTGAATTTGTTTGCTACCTCATCCGGTTTTATAACCTCCCAGCATCCGGCGACACACTACTTTCCTTTCGCCTCACGGTTTTGAATTGCCCCTGCTTTTAGAATCGGCCATGTTCAAATGCTTCGTAGAATCAGAAGTTGAAATTCGTACTAAGAACATCAGGCTCTGGTATGATGCATTTACTGTTTTTAAAGATTAGATAGAGAATTGTGTCCAGTAAAAGGCCAGACTTCTGCTAAGCTGCAACTAATTTGTTTGAATTATTTCCTTCAGGATGGCGATGCAGATGGTTCTGATGGTGGTAACACCAGTGTCAGTTACCCGACATACAACGAAGTTCCAACTGGTCTCAGATTTTCCTGCAGGGACAAACTGCCGGGTTACTACGCCGACCCGGAAGCACAATGTCAGGTAATGCAAACTAAGTCATTTGAAGACGAGGTCAGTTGTTATTCATCACGGAATTCAATGCCGGGCAGAAGCTGGGATATCCCCCCCCCCCCTATAATGCCAAGACAATCGCAAGGAACTCACATGGACTCCATTTCTGTGAGGCGATGATGTCCATTGCATGTATTGCTAAGTAATCTACTCACCTCCATCTACAATGCATTCAGTATTAACGCCTTAGTATACTGCATGATTTTATCAACGCAAAATATTTTAAACATTTTTAAAACCATGTCTGAAATCTGTCACAAAAGATCTTTGTAGGTAGATGTCTGTCTTCAGGGATAATGCGCCGTGACGTCTGGTAAATTTTTACGGAGGTACTCGCTGCCTCCGTCACCAGAACGATGATCGTCACTTACTTTGACTTTCTTGTGTGTTGAAAGTTCAGTTAATTCGACTATACAAGCCAGTAGATCAATAAACTCATTCTCTTTCTCAGGTCTGGCATTGGTGTCTGCCGTTTGGCAAGAAGTTCAGCTTCCTCTGTCCAAACGGAACTGTGTTTAACCAGCTTTACCGAGTATGCGACTGGTATTACAATGTGGACTGTCCGAACGCGCCAGAGAAATACGATATCAACAAAGACCTCTACAAGGACAAGGAAGGAAAACTGATCTAGAAATCATAACACCGATCACATTGCCCGTATGTCATTCCAGGAGCCTCAGTCTTCAACATAATTCGTAATGTTCAACAAAGACACATCTTAAGTCTCTACGCAATTCAAACTGGCATCTGGTGCAGTATTTTTCAACATTTCCCACTCAAATTACAAGCCATTTCTGGCTGCACATATACATTGAGGATATTTGGCCGCTGTGCCGTTAGGACCTGGAAATTCGACAAGCAACGCAGTGTTCAAGCATTAGAGACATGCCGTGCGGTGCTATTAGCACATAGAACCAAATATCCTCACTATACACGGCAGTCTGGTCTGGTTTTCAAACGCGTTCTTTTGGAGTTTTTAATATATGCCCTATTACAACCTAGCAAAAATGTATAATTAATTTTCGTAAGATCGGCTCTTGTGAACATGATAATTAATACTGGAGTCCATGGAATTTCTTGACCAGCTAAACGACTGTCAGCTTATCAATGACTCTGTTCCGTGGAGTTATATTCGTAACGTGAGTTACAATGTTGTTGCTCGTGATTGTAAAGACAAAGAAAACACTGGATTAAACAGAAAGTATACATTACAATCTCAGTATGAGTGATACACGAATTTAACCCCTGGGTTGGTGTAACATTCTATACTATAGCAGCAGTCACTAAATTGCATGCAAAATCGTACAAAGCTGCAACACGAGCAGGTGAGTGAAGACAGCTCAGACGTCACAACGTAGCTGTAGCGGTGACTTGGAGTCACGTGATAAGGAGGACTTGTGTCCTCAGAGTATGCAATTTGGTGACAGCTACAACAGACAAATAATTACAGAGTGAGGACGAGCGTCTTCGGTGTACCAATGTGTCACATAAGTTTCAAGGAGCTTCGTCTGGACATGTATTGCACCACAATGCATGTATTAAAATGGACATTACAAAGAGCCGGAGAAAATGTAGGATCGTGGAATATCTATATTATAGCACCTAAAAATAACACAGTTACATGCGAATACACTGAGTTATTCTTTCGCGTGTTTACTGTCTGAAATGAAAATGAGTTTCAGGGTAAACCAACTGAAACAGAACGAAATGGAGCACAGATGTAGATAAAGATGAGTTATCAAGTACTGATGAGATAAAGCCACACTGACATTATAATGCCTAAGTGTACACGCCCGACGGCTTAAATGTTACTTATAATAAGAGTTCAATATTGTCATTGCAAGAGGGCTACGCCTTAAAATCCGTCATTCGGTACATTATAAAATCGATAATTTTATGACAAGATAAAGAAATTTATCACAAGTTTGATTTAAGGTATTATTTTCATAGATACTATCTAATGTAATTAGATCTCACGTTTCATTAAAACATCGGTGAACTTGGTAAGACATACAATAAAATCTTCTCGTGCTATCAGCCGCGTCAGTTGGTTAAAACATGAAAAGACCAACGTTTCGAGGTCCATCTCTGGCCTAGTCCTCAGGGTACTGAAGTACTTGAAGCGGCTGATAGCCAGAGAAGATTTTATTGTACAAAGTCGCCGTGAAAGCTCAAGATCATACCTTGGTAAGACATAGTTCTAGCCTATTCAGACAAGTCGTGAAAATATGTGTAATATAGGCTGTTGCTACCTCTCTCTAAATGTCCATATTCTAGTATTGACATATGTATTACTGTGTGTAATTTATAATCTGTATCATTGTAATAATAAGTCCGCTTCATAGTGCAATATATTTTGCAAATTACAAACCAATTCTTAACTTGTAAAATTGTACTTTTGAACTTTTTTTATCGTGTAAAGTAAAAAGTAATAAAACTTTGTTTCGGAAGCTGGATTCTGTTCCCGACTTCGGTAAAGGAAGGGGAAAGTGGACAGAAAACCTACAAGTTAGGTCGCTGGTTTACCTACCCTCAGACCTGGTCTAGGGAGTTCAACAGATAGGCTTTGTGTTCTCTCTTCCCCTTACTAACCTGAAGACGGAAGAATTAATCTTAAGAAACATTGAAGTTTGATTATTTCATAATTTAGACGACGGACAATGTCCAAAAGAACAATTCCACGTATTATAACGCACGCATCGTCAGAAGCCTCCAGACTTCGACTTAAGTTCATATCTATGAGATAGACCACAACCGTCGAGACTTGTCTTAAAACCAAACAATAAAATCAGTCGATAACCTGATAACGGAAGTAGATCAAATGTCGAAATGTAGTGTATATGAAATATATCACAAAAAATAAACCATGTCCAATGTAGTATTTGGAAAATAGAACCTGTGTTTACGTTCGCTAATTGTTTATAGGTATATATCGAATGTATTGAGGATTTGCAATGCGAAAGCGTCAAATATATATTTGCAACACAATAACGCTTCGAAAGACTTTTAATAATTATTGTGTGCTGTAATTATATTTTTTAGATACATAAATAAAGAAAAACTTATTTTTAGATTTTATTCAGAATTCTAAAAATCTTAAAACCTAAATAATCACTTCATTTCTAAGGACGCATCTCCATTCATCTTATGGTAAAAATGGGGGAAACCTATTGTTGGATCCGGTCTACTAGATTGGATCACAGAACACAGAAATATGGTGAGTTTCTTCGATGGAATAACTAAATATCTTAGAAGCGTCTGCAACTTCCTTTGCCATCTCTTCCTACGACCATCCATAATCTTTTACGCAGATCTTTCGAAATTATGGCCTCTGAGATAAAACAACAACAACAACAAATAACTTAAGAAACTTCTGAAAAATATCAATACAGCATTCATTTGTGCGATGTGCAGATACGACCCGTTTGCGTTGATGATATGGTGAATTATGAATTACAGAAAACACGTCCTATAATTTCCGCAACTTAAGCAGCCCGATACCGAATTCTGTACAACAAGGAGATACGAGACAAATATGGCGATATATACCGAGAGCTGGTTTGTAGGCAAATGAGTTTTCACAACAGACAACAGATGACAGCACCATGCAAGCGATTTCACCTGTAATAAATTTAACATTGCGTATGAGTGGTCAACTATCAGCGTTGCTAATTACTGGATACAAACGTAGAGACATGGCGATTTTGTAAACAATCTTTTGGTGAATGTTGGCACAGGAAATACACGAATACAATTGAATCCGACCAGAATGAAGGGATAACAAAATTTTGGTATCTGCCAAAGGAACCTGCGGACAACCTGAAAGAAGTAGCCCAGTAGATACGCCTACGGGAAGATGTGAGGATTCTATTAAAACGGATCCTATAAAACAGAGATTATAGACAGGATCCATCTGGCTTTGGATTGAATTCTGGAGAACACGGCAATAAACCTTCGACTTCAATTACGGCGCGGAATTTCTTGGTTGCCTGACTATTTGCTTCACAAAGGGAATTTCTTGGCTAAAGAGTCAGCAAAACAGTAAAGATTATTCAAGATTTTGTGTGCCTTGGGGTTTTGAAACACTGGTGTTTATTTGCACTTGCATGATAATTCTGTTTCGAATGCTTCATAGCAGAGCGAGAGAAGTTTTTTTTTTTTCGTCTTAAGAAACCAAGGACGACAAGATTACCGTAACTATATGTTCATTAGGGTTGTCCACTTTGCCTGGAGAAATCTGTTCACATATACTCTCAATGCCAGTTCTCATACAGCGGAAGATCACGCAAAATGTAAAAATAGGGGTTAGGTTACTTTAGATTTTACAAGAAAGGCAAGAAAATATTTTCAATGTGGCGACGTCCATTTCCTGAGCTTACTCCGCCCTTAATTTCGCAAAAGTGTGTTTCGTTTGTTCCTTTCTTTCCCCAGTTCTTGAATTCCGCTGCTTCTATTCGTGCTCTAGTTTTGCTTGTGACTGGTCACCCCTGAGTGCTTAGTCACGTGTTTTATACAGGTTTTCCTTGATATCTGTGACGAACAAGAATTTGGCCACCCGTATTTGGCCAATGGCTCGCCTACTATTATTATTTAGTGTTCTGTCTGACGACAGGTCCATATGAACAGGATCCTTCCATCCTTTTCTCGGACTGGGACCTGTTCATATACGTTCTTGGCAGATGATCCAGAAGTGGTTTGCCATTGCCTTCTTCTGTGTGTGAATGGAGTAATTGTTGGGATGCCACGGAGAAACCGGGGAAGCCCCCGGAGGAAAACTCCGTGTTGCCTAGACCACGGCCTTGCCCAACACAAGTTATAAATTCGGGCACCGCCGGGAATCGAACCCGAGACCCCAGGATTACAAGGCTAGACCACCGTGGCTAGCTGGCTCGCCTACACAATTAGATAAGGTGTTTCAGATTGTGATCCCAACGACAGGAGATTCTCTACATTGAGTGACATTGTTAAGAACTGTATTTTGTTCATAGTACATTGCATATAGAAGGCCCACTTGCTTGATAAACGTTTAGTGTTAGAAAGAGGGTGAAGATCAAGGGAAATCAAATGGCTGAGGCGCACTTAATACGTACTTTCATTGAAATCAGGCCAGTCCTTTGACAGAGTCGGTAAATACCACAGTCCTCATGAATATAAGCCTTATACCACGTTTCTTTACATGTATATGTGGTTTTATAGGTTGTCACACTGTGTAGTCGGAAGAATTTACTGCCTCCATCTTCAGGGTGATATTTTATCCTTTTCTTCATACAGTAGACGTACGATATATTTCACCTTCCAGTCTCTTTGAAAGATTTCGTTCTTTCTTGAAACAAAACATGTCTTTAAACCTTCACTCACAGCCCAATTCCTCAAGACATCCCAGGGAAACAAATTTTTCAACACTCCTTAAAGTAATATGAAGTTACGTAAGTCCCACGGAAGTCTGACGAATCATAAACCTACATCCAAGACACCAAAATTTGCACTTTAACTGCCTTTTAGGACACACTTTGTGCACATGTTCTAGTTGTGAAGCAAACTGCCTGCATGTATTCAACTTCGCATTTACGTATAATGGGTCCTCCAGGTTGGGGGTTGGTCGCAAGGCTAACAACCTTGCACCGTAAAAAGTAAGATGTTTCGAAACCTCAATCAAAGCCTCGGACAGACGGACCTAACAGAAGGACCGAATGGAAGAGGAGAATTGAGGAGGCCATGGACCGAATACGGACCGGAGAGCCATAGAAGAAGAAGATTTATGTATAATGACAGTAATAATCTGGAGCATCAAAATTTCGTTACGTGTTCCAACATGCGTTTTTGCCAGTCAGACTATAGGGGTCACGTCTCCAGGACAGTTAAGACATTACTCAAAGCTCATGCAGAGATTAAAAGAAATGGATTGTAAAATGATTGTAGATCATGCGTTTCCAATGTTTTGACGCCCTTGTACCATAAACGTGATCAGCTACGACCAAGTGACTACAATGTAGGCGCGGTGTCTTGCTTGAAGGACGTGAGACCAAGCGTGGCGGTAGTGTTGTTTGCATTCCCGCTTCGTATTTCCAAGGTCCGTCTTCGATTCACAGTACGAATATTCCGACATATTCTTGTTTTCCTCAGTCTCTCCAAACAAATGCTGATACAATAAAACACTACTTATTCATTCTTCTCAGCTCACAGTTAATGATCATTCTCCCATTCGATGCTACATAACATATTTAATTAAAATTCATCGTTAAATTAAACTCGTTATAAATGTCTATATGCACTTAAAAAGCTTTAACTTCCCAAAGTCTGTTTCCATTGGTCACTTGTGGTTTTACTCTTGGCCTACAATTACATCTAGGTTATTTAACGACAATAAATCAATGCAGTGGCTATGTAGCGAATGAATTACAAAAATTGTGACAGGAAGCGGTCGCAGTTATTTTGAGGTACTTTTCCAGTAAAATAAAGTTTGTCCCGCTATACGCCATGTAGGCGCTTGGGGGAAGTGGAGGTATAGCTCCTCTCTTCCTTGACCTCGGCACTAGATGGGGGTGAGTGGTCAGCATCATGCCCCGGGCCGGCTTTACCCCCGGGAAAGGACCCCGGTACCTATTGTAGAGGAGGCTGGGTGGGCCCCAGAGACGGTCTGGACGCAGTGGGACAAACTTTACTTTTCCAGTAGCATATCAAAATAAATTCGGAAAATTACAGACAATGCTAAGTCAATATAACCGATAGCCCAACGAGATTCAATCGGATACTTTGCATATCGGATTCAGGAAAATTAGCGCTTAATAAACCTGGCTGGTTATGGGAAAATATCCAGGTTAGATAGATGGCCAGATTATAATTAAGTAGAGAAACAGTTAATTGCAATTACGCACACACGGCCTACCTACAGCACATATGATACATGTTTAAATTAAGTTCACCCTCTTAACGCAATCAGATGCGCTACAAATAGTGTAACGTCAAAGTGACGAAACAATGGACATAATAAACAATTTTCTGGGCGGCCTTGTACTTTCCCACAACGAAGCTATTGTACCGACGCCAACCCACAAGCCGCGAAAGATTACACGCAATTACAAGCGGCAGGGAAAACTCGGAGGACATAAGATTGGTTGCATCCTACTAACCAAACCCTTGACCAAGTTCCCAACTTCAAATCAGCTACACTTTAAAACTAATTGATGTTGCCGATAAGCTGAAGAGAATAGATTCGGTAGCAGGATTTTGTTATTGATTCGTCTCCATCTCCAGATGTTATATATATTCGAATGAGATCAGGATGTGGTCGTAAATGGTGGATATGACAAAACAGACTATGATATTAAGGTTTCAGTTTATGTTTAGTATAGAAATTACATGGCTTATTTATCTTCACACACCTTACTTTATGAACAGTTTCGTTCAATTCATCACATGTGATGAATCCTTATTAATTTTATTACAAGTCCTTGGGTTTCTTCCGCAAAATTTTCACACGTCGCACCACATATTTTGAAAATTATCTGGTGACGTATGACGTTTAAGGGGCATTCCTCGTCAAACAAAAATGCTCCCTGCATATCCTATACACTTACGTAAGAGCATGTAGCGCCGAATCTAGATGGCAGTGTTTTCTATTTTACAAATACTGCTACCATTAGGCAACGTTTAGGGACAGACTATTTCTAAAGGAGCTGAAGTCACGAAAATAACAGAGAAAATCAAGAATAGTTGTAATAAGGGAATAAGATACGAAGAATGATTTCCCATTGAATTTCAAAGGGCATTCTCCACTAGTAATAACGTATTATGAATTTTAAATACTGGAGAGAGAGAAAGGATGGCGTATTTCAAGGTATCCCACCATCTCAGAATTCATATTGATTCGAACCGGGAGTTAGGCGCATTAACCACGCTAAAACCGGTTCGGTCCTGCAAGAAAGTGCAGGTGGGCGCTGTTGCATACGACCTACCGTCGACCTTCGTCAAGGATTGCTAGTTCTTACTACGGGTTTCCTGCTAGGAGCCTTGCTATTACTTCCCCACAGCAACGTACACAAAAGCCAAAGCCCACTGTCGGCATTTCCTGGGCAGAGCGAGTGTGAGGTATCTTTGATTGTCACTGGAGAGATTTCAGATGAAGGCCTTTAGTGTTTCCTTACAAATACTTTCCCCAGAGCCTATCTGGCATTGAGTTCTGGCCGTCTGTCCGGTAAATCTGCAGCTCATCCCCAATTTTCGTGGTCGATCTCATTACGTTCAGTCGCGTTCGACACTCATTTACCACGACGGCAATGGTCTTCTAGATCGTAACGCAGAGTGGACTTCTAGGTAGATACCGACGTTTCGGAGGAACGCTTTACGAAGACCCAAATTACGATTTCGCTCATACGAACCTATAAAATGAAGCGCATACTCAATGCTTGTCTTGTCATCCTAAAGCGATTTCTTTCATCGGAAATCTTCCGAACACGTGCTGACGAAAACACAAAGACGTAACGTCGCCGTCAGTCAGTAACTGCAGCGTATATACGTGAATTAGTTCGCCTTACGCTCCGTTTGGGTGTACATTTCATTTCCATGGCATATGTAATACTCTGATTCCGTTGCTTGCATGTTTTATTTCAGGCAATAAAATTGTTGATACCTAATTTTCTTGTAATTTCTCGGTCATTCAGGAACGTAACCACCAAATATAACATTACGCTTATGGAAAACAGCGACACTCTTTATGAACTCTCTCCATGAACGTAACTATTTGTAAAAGCGGGGGCCGCCAGTATTACGAAGTGTCTGAAAAGTTTCCCGTGGCGCAACTTTGCGAGTTACTAGCAACTTTTCAGCCTGTAACCCACGACCACTACGTCACGGTCTGACTCAATCCACTTCCCACTGTTGTTTCGGTGGCAGGTCGCGAATTAGCATAGCATTGTTATGTTTTGTATTTTCTGTTCGCTCATGCCTCCGAAAACAAATACAGTTTGTGTGAGAAATAAAAACGTAACTGTAAAAGCTGTCAAGAGAGTAAAGAGTACGTTTTCCTAAAGGGGTACATAGACCCGACACTTAGCGGTCACGGAGTGAGGGTATTAGTTTTTCAAAGTTCATTGCCTCAGTAAAGCGTCCCTCGAAAACGCCTGTATTCCATTTCGGAGTGAAATATATTTTATTCTGATCAGGGGTTCATGTTAACCATGTTAGTCCGGCTAACACTTCGAAGACCGAAGAATAACAAGCCTTGTCGAACTTTTGTGGTTTAGTGGTAATCCATACACTGGAACACAGAAGAACTGATTAGATAAAATGCATCGTTAGCCAGCTTCAGCCAGCCAGGTGTTGAGGCTTACGCTCGTCGCGAGCGTCCATGATCTGCCCAATTGTATATAATCTCTCAAAGGGACATGCTCAATACAATGATAATTCCTTCTAAATTACATGTTCATTCCACAGAGGTCAAGAGCTCGTCAGTCATTTACCATGACGGCACTGGTCTTCTGCAATGCAACGCCGTGTGGGCTCGTAAGTACCTTGCAACGATTCGGAGGAACATACTGCCTCCACCGTCATTTCTGTTGTTTGTTATAAACTTGATTTTACATTCTGGTCATTGATAGTTGCCTATTCTAATTCTAGTGTCACAAAAAAAATGAATATCCCAAGTGTACCGCCAGTACCAAACGTTAAGAAACACTGTTCCACTTACTGAACTCCTCCATCCTCATCAACGCTTAACCAACCGACTTCTGTCTCTACGTGAGGTTTCTTAAAACGTCACTTTTGACTGTATGAAAACAATACAAGAGTTATAAATACATATGACTGAAAAATAAGCGACCAACTAGCAAACCAACTTTCACTGCAAACAGCTAGTTTGAGTCTTGGGTACTGCGTAGTACGTAGTCAGCTGTCTGCGTCCAAAGCGTAGCAATAGACACGACGTTCAATAAAAGACACCAACCAGTCACTCTGCTCCTGCTGTCGTTTAAGAAATCAACTGATGATGCGGATTATAAAACCGGATCATTGAACCAATGGGAACTGACACCAAGGGGCAAACGTGTTGGATTAATGGCGACGTTCTAATCGCTTACAAAAAATTACATATATTTCGGAAGGAATGTGATGATGGCAACCTTTAGTTTACACTTACTTCAAAGCTTAATTATATTCAAAGTATATTCAATTGTTTCATCAATCTATGAGAATTTATAATAATATATGTAGGCAACTTCTTAAGGACTCTGCTCCATGAAGTTCGCAACTTAAAACATAGCGATTGTAATGTCATATAATGTAATAGACTGACAAAATTCTTGTAAAGTCGTAATAAACCAAGTATAGTGTCAAGTTAGCACAGAAGTCTGTAAAAGTGGAAATTCCATAATTTTACAAATGTTCACATGGAAACACGATGAAGGAGAAGACAAGAACCCTGAAATCGACCAGGGTGACTGCTAATATACCAAATTAAATTAAACACGCTTAATACAAGAGGAGGGACTTGGAGGTGGGAGAACAAATTAAAATGGAAGGGGAAATGCCACGTAAAGGCTTTATAATAATATAAAAGACGGAGGTGGAGGTATGGCTGACAACTCGCTTCGCGAGGGGGGGGGGGCGATGTAGAGGGAAAAGAACATACTTAGAGAGTAGGTATGTACCAGTCAGTGGTAAGGCTGTTGTGGAGAAGCCAGCTTGCCAACACAGCTCTCTCCAGCACCAAGGAGGAGAAGTTGCCAAGAGTGAAATCTGTGCCTCCGTTTCGTGTGTCCTGCAGTTATTCGGCGTGAATAGTAAATCAATACAGATCTGCTGACAGTTGTGCTTGTGGTCTGTATTGTTGGATTTTCTTTCGAAGAGCGGAGTTGTTGAATATGTAACTAAGATTTATGAGGCGAAGAAGACGAAATATTACGTGATATTACTGTTCTGTACTCGATTTACATCGAGTTATTTTTCAGAAAGTATTTAGAAAAACGTTAAAGTAGTGCATTTTCATTTAAAGTGTGCCTAATTAAACCTAATTCATATTTTGAGTGTGTGCTTTTTCAAAGTGGGTGAAATTTCGTTTCTGTAACTTAGATAAACAAAAAAGTGAAAACAATTTCAAGGATGCATTGCTACAGATGAAGAACTTCTACTCTGAACATAAACTTGAATAGTTGCCTGCTAACCTCTCCAACGATAGTGGTAAGTTATAATCACATCTCGCATTCAAGAGAACTGCCATTCTTGAATACTGTTCGTACTATAGAGCTTATAATGACACCATTTGCTACAGTAAGAAGTTACTGGTGGTTACATTTTTGCTAGACAGTCGTTACATTATATATTTCTAAGCTATATTTCCTTATTAAGCAAAATGCGGTCATAAATACCACTGCCTTCTTCATATTCGCTGCCGTGAGAACCTAAAATCTCACAAAATGCAGCCAACTCATCACGTTACACACTGCTGGGCTGTTATAAGTCGAGCCAAACCAGCGCAGAACATGACCTGACCACTTCCAAGCTTAACTACTTCCGTGAAGCGGTAAGGCGTACAGAGTTAATTATCGGCATAAAAATGGCATGTTTCGTTGATTATGAAGGCAGCCTTTTCAACATGTTTCTGAGATTTATCAGCAGAGTCTGAAGGAAACAAAGACTTATAGCAATGCAAATGACCACGATATTCAAAGGACTGTGTATTGAATATGCTACAAATGATGTAAGTCGCTGAATAATGCTGAAACGGGTACACTCCAAACAATTCGTTGTTTCTGGGTTCGCAAATTCTGAAATCGACTCCCTTTCTGTTCTCACTCGCGTGAATCTTACGAATTGCCAGCCTTGACGCTTATTTCTGACTCTGAAAAATTGTGTTTGTAAATAAGAAGAACGCCCGAATATCGGTCCCGGACACGAGCAATTCTGATTCTTCTGAACTTTCTCACCTATTCCAGGTAGATGCTCGTCAGCAGGTCAAAATCTCTTCGTTCCACAACCTTTTCCAACCCAACTGAATGCATTATAACCTAAAGAGTTGACAAAGTATCGTTAAATCCATGAATCAAATAGACAGACTAAGAGAGTGTGGTCGAGAGAGAACGTTAGGCTTTAGGTCTGTTCTGCCATTCATCTATCCCATCGTCATCACTGGAAATCCACCCCTTGCGTGCTCCCAGTTCACACATGAAATAGACTGAAACACTCCCCAAAATGTCACGAATCGAAACTAAGGTTCTTCAATACTACAAGACACAGAATTTAACACATTGTTTTTACCTAGTTTCCTCATTTTGAGGGGACACGTTACGTTAAGCTGTCGTGTCGGCGTGGTAAGTCGGTGCGTAAACTTACGTCTCCATTAATGACCTTTGAAATAATTGACTGCTTCTAATTAAACGTAACGTAAAATTTACAACACAGCAGAAAACTGTACTTCCGTAACTTTCAACTTGATGCACCCTATATTAAGCTTCTGTTAAATTTGTATTTATTTACACTTCACAGAAGTAAGACACTGCCGTACCGTAGCGCCAACAAGATCCTTGGACCTAACACTGAAAATAAAGGAAATCAAGAAACAATAACTTAATTTGTAATCAAACACTCCTGCCATGTTCGCTTAATAAAGCCTATGCATTTTCAAAACCAAACCATGTATCATTAACACCTATTATCGCGAAAAAAGAAAAATAAGGAACTCATGTTGACAAAAATTTCGTTTTTTGCTTATAATCTTTTTACAGTTATACCAATTACTGAAATTCATGTGTAGCCACTGTACGTCTGTGGCAGTTGAAAACCTGCTCGCGAAAGCTGAAAGAAACCATTCACTTTCTCACAAAATTAAGTTATATGTTTTAAACTGTGGATTAACTCAAGGATAAACTACAAGTCAGCATGTGATATGAAGACTGATTTGTCGTAGAAACGTGTTATGTTGGTTTCTACTGTGGAGGTTAAAGGTCAGTGTACAAACCACTTCTGAGGCCGGGATGTTGTGGTCAGTACAATTAGGTTAGACATTAGATTTCTTAACACCTCGTGTTCAATACGCTCCCAGAGCTTTAGCACGGTGGCTCCCAAACGATACAAAATTACTTAAAATGTGAATTACACATTTAAAAAAACAAGGAGTCTACTAATAAATATTTATTATGTATGAAATTCCAAAGAAACCAAGTTCCAGGCCTTAAATAACATTTCTTAACATGACTAACATGGCTACGTCTTGCGAAGAGGAGTTTTCAGGGTGGCGTCCAAATCCCGAGGTGGAGAACCGCCACTTGTCGGTTGTTCGCGACCCCTTATTCAAGAAATTCGCAGCTGTATTCCATATCTAGATAAATGACCAGGGCTGTGCAGTCGGAGTCGGTAAAAATATACCGACTCCGACCTCGATACAAAATCTTAAGAACAATTTCTATAACGTGTGAGCCGCCGGCGGCCTCACGCTTAAGGTTATAAGTCTAAAAAGTAGGCTGATGATTGACATGGTGGTGATGAAATCTCTTATGGTGCCATTACCATTTCAGTAGCTTTACACCTATTAATACATATTGAACTTTTATTAAGATCACCGAGTCGGAAACTGAGTCGCAGATTTCAGTACCAACTCCACAGCCCTGGACACGACAATATAAGTCCAGTGGTTTTCCGAAGAGGGGCCTTTAAAATATTCAAGGTATTTCGAAAGTAATTTTTTCAAATGCATTTTTCTGCTGATCTCCAGGAATCTGACTAACCATATTTATGTCCGTTTGAGGCCACGCACCGGTCACCGTCATGTCATCGTCACGACAATAGCAGTCGGTTGGTTTTCCGAATACAGGCTTCCAAATTTCTCAAGGTCATTCGAAGGTCATTTTCTCAAACGCTAATTCTGCCGATCCGTAGGAATCTGAGTAACAATACTCATGTCAGTTTCAGGTACCGGACAGGTCATCGTCATGTTATGGTCACGACAATGTAAGTACCGAAGTTTTCCGAATAGAGGCCTCTAAAATTTTCAACGTATTTCGAAAATCATTTCTTTCAAACGCAATTTTCCGCCGATCTGCAGGAATCTCAGTGACCATATTTATATCCGTTTGAGGTCAAGCACAGGTCACCGTGATGTCATAGTCACGACAATATAAGTACCGAGATTTTCCGAAAAGAGGCCATTAAAATTTTCAAGGTATTTCGAAAGTAATTTCTTTAAACGCATATTTCTGAAAATCTATAGGAACCTAAGTGACAATACTCATGTCAGTTTGATGTCAACGATAGGTCATCGTCATGTCATAGTCACGACAACATAAGTCCAGGGGTTTTCCACAGAAAGGACTTCAAAATGTTCAAGGTATTTCGAAAGTCATTTTTTTAAACGCATTTTCCTGCCCATCTGCAAGAATCTGAGGACCATATTTATGTCCGTTTGAGGTCATGGATAGGTCGACGTCACCTCAACATCATAAAAAGATACGTCCAAGGTTTACATTTTACATTTTCAAAGCTCAATTCAACAACAATTTTTCTCAGGCTTATATCTACCTAACTTTATTAAACTGAGTGACCATAATCATGTTAGTTTGAAGCCACTAATAGATAAACTTCATTCGTAGGTCAGGGCAATTACATTACAAAAGATGGGGCTACTTGAAAAGGATAGGTTCGTTTAGTTTAGGTTGGGTTAGTTTAGGTTAGGTTGGGTTGGGTTAGGTTAGGCTAAGTTTGAGTGCGATGTGTTAGGTTATGTTTTGGTCCCTTACGTTGCGTTGTGTGGTTAGGTTTGTATCGTTTTAGCTTTTGTTATTACGGGATAGGTATGTTGTGGTCACGTATCTGTCAATGTCATTAAATTTCATTAGAAAACGAATTTTCCCCAGACTTAATTCTGAAGAATCAAATATATCTTGTTGAACATACTCACGTATCGTTGATCAAATCAAGGTCATGCCACAGACACGACCAGTGCTGTGGAGTCGGAGTTGGAAGCAATTTTAGGTGGAGTCGGTAAAAATATACCGACTCCGACCTCGATATAAAATCTTATGAACAATTTCTATACCATGTGAGCCGCCGGCGGCCTCACGCTTAGGGAGATTCAACGACGTGTTGAGCCACATGGTGTGGGAATAATGCTTTGTAACTTTGGCTTCGGTACCTTAAGAATACAATCTGTCTACAATTCAACTGATTTCTGCAATAACCATTAGACATGTATATAAATATAGGTTATAAGTCAACGTAGGCTGATGATTCTCGTTGTGGTGATGAAATCTCTTATGGAGCTATTTATCATTTTAGTAGGTTTACCCTTATCAATACATATTGAGCTTTTATAAAGGAGTCGGTGTCGAAGCCGGAGTTGGAGTCGTAGATTTTAGTACCGACTCCACAGGCTTGTAGATTACATGACCGTAATGTAATATTGCCTTTTCATATAATCATATATATATTGCAATGAGACCATTAGCCCCCAGATGAAAGCTACAAAATTAGGAAGTGCTCTAGAATGCAAACAGGGTAAAATTAGCACAACAGCATAAAACCTACAACTTAAAAATTAGTTTAACTTAAAGTTTGAAACTTACCCCGTATTAGATGTAGCAGTTACACTGTAATGATTCGGTGCTTATGAAATTTGGTAATGCCATTTTTCTCAACATAAAATGCAACGGTTGTGACGTTATGATCAATTCCTGAAGTTGATATTCATGTGATATGTTTTATAAGGTGTTTGCATAGAACTCGCTGACTTCAATAAACTCACCAATATCAATAATAACATTAAGAGCGTGCCATCGAAAGTCACCTGCTGTCGCCTGCGCACATATCAGCAAGAAGACGTCACGCGTAAAAGTAACGCACCTTTGGAATGCTAAACAAATGGTACATTTGCAAATTTTCTTCCTTGTATCCCCATTGTTTCTGCCGATAAGTATCGCACAACAATAGAATTATTTTCATATCGTGACGAGTAACATTGTAGTTCTTAACGGAAAGCTCGAACATCCAACCTCGGCCACCGCGTCTTGTGCAGACGTGTGTTGCATGTTGCATGACGCTCAGGAACTAGCACGAAACGGAACTGTTCTAATCATTCACGGGAAAATAGCTTCATTTTTATTATGAACAATTAACACGTCGTACTGTTTCAGATGACATCATATTTTCTCTTCCTAACTTTCAGTATTAATTACTTCAGTTCCGCTGTT